CGCCTTCCGGTTCTTGTCCAGCTTGCCGTCACGGCCCTTGTAGGTCCCACGGACGACGAGGACCTCGTCAAGACGCGACAAACGCTGGACGGGGCAGTGAAGTGGGCCCGACGGCTCTTGCAGCGGGAGCTGGACACCATTGGGTTGAACTTCATCGTGCCTCTGTGATGATCGGCTGCTGGCGCTAGAGGAAGGGCTGGAGATGAGCTTGGAGTCTAGCGCTGGAGATGAGCTTGAAGTCTAGGGCTGGAGATGAGCTTGGAGATGAAAGGGTTGTTTCTGATTAGGGAATTTGTTTTTTGTGATTCGGGGATTTACTTTTTTTTTGGGAAGGGAAATAAGCAGGACTGTTGCTGATTAGATCCAAGAAAACAAAACGAGATCTATAATATGTATTAGATGATTTTTTTTTTCCTTTTCTTTTCTTGAATTGTAATAGCTTCTTTAGGTTCCCTCGACAAGTCAGTCCTCGAACTGATGAGAGGAAGAGCTGATATCTCACATTGTTGAGATATCTTGTTTTTGGATCTTGTTTCCTTAGTGAAACAGGAATTCTTGTTGTTCTAACTCTCTTGTTGTGCTGTTGAAGTGCTGTCGGAATTTCCGCTGCGCATCAATACTAGTTGGATCGATAACGAAGACTGGCAAAAATCCGATGGAAAAGATCATTAAGAAGTTGAATCCTGATGAGATCTCAACACTGATGCAACTGATGAGGTTATCGAAGGGAGAGGGCTCGACAAAGCCACCACCCAAGAAGGTGGAGCTTTCACCTATCGATGTAAAGCTCGATGGACCCGCGACATATCTGAGTTGGTCGCGACGGGTGAAATATACCCTTGCCGGGAGGAGCCTGGAGGGATACCTGACAGGGGAGAAGACTGAGCCAGCTGAGGGCTCCGCAGAAAGAGATGAATGGAAGTTCACTCATATGTTGGTGTACATCTGGCTCCTGAATTCTGTAGTCTAGCCAATTGCCGCCACAGTGGATGGTCTTGGGAGGGTGCAGGATGTCTGGGAGAAGCTGAGGAGGACCTACGATGGGGTGGGGAATAACCTGAGGGTATTCCAGATCGAGAAGGAGATCAGCACTACAGTCCAGGGAGAGAGGACTGTACAAGAGTACGCCACAGAGCTAGAGCGTTTGTGGCTCGATCACGATCACTTCTCGCCCCTAGCGAGCTGCAAGGACCCGGAGTGTAAGGAGCGTAAGGTCTCTTTGCAGAAGAGGACCATGTTGTTTCTCCGAGGCTTGGCCCCAGCGTATGAGCAGAGGACGGCGTTGCTACTAACCCAGACGAAGATCCCACCACTGGAGGAGACAGTCTCGGCCATGATATAGGAGGAGAGCCGTATCAGACGACAGGCTGGGACAGGTGGACTTACTGGGGAGAAGTCTGCAATGGTGATATCAAACCCTGATAACACTAGATTCAGAGAGGAGACTAGGCAGTGCTTCAACTGCGGAGAGGTAGGGCATCTGAGACAGATGTGCCCTAAACCACCTAGGGAGAGGGACTGGGATGGACGTGGTCATGCTGGAGGTCGTGGCCATGGCCGTGGAGGTAGGCGAGGTGGAAGAGGAAGCCACCGAGCAAACTTGACAGTGACAGAAAGAGAAGAAGCTGAGATGATCTTCACCGATGAGGATCGGGCACTTTTGGCAGTATTGAGAAGGAAGCAGAGAGCAGTAGGTGATGTGTCTGAGGGGGCATTTACTACTTTCTCTGGAGACTGCCAATTATGCCCTTCGCGCACACCCAAACGAGGGAAGATCCACCGCCTGGATAATGGATTCTGGAGCATCCAGACATGTGATAGGCAATGCCAGTGAGTTCTTATCTTACACTCACTTAGCAGAAGCCGAGAGCATCCAGATCGCTGATAGTACATCACAAGATGTGGTTGGTAAGGGCACCGTTAGTTGTACAGGTTCTATAACTCTATCTAATGTTCTGCATGCTCCTTCATTTTCTATAAGCCTGTTATCCATTAGTGCCATTATCCTCCAACTAAATTGTATTGTTTCTTTTGACATTCCTAAGGTGATCTTCCAGGAGAAGAGGACAGGGCGAAGACTTGGGACTGGGACATGACGTAACGGACTGTGGTACCTGGACCGCAAAGGGATGGACTCAGCGCTGACATCTATGGTGGAGAGGACGGGAACAGGAGGAGCTAAAGTGTGTGCAGAAGATGAGTTAATGCTTTACCATCAACGGATGGGACATCCGTCATTTGGCATTTTGGGTAAAATGCATCCAACTCTGTTTGAAAAAGTAAATAAACAGATGCTGCAGTGTGATGCTTGTGAGTTTAGGAAGCTGACTAGAAGCTCGTATGTTAGTTCGGGTAATAGGAGTTCTTACAAGTTTGAAGTAATACACTCTGATGTATAGGGACCCTGCCCAGTAAATTCTATAAATGGATACAAGTTTTTATTGCTTCTCTAGAGTCATTTGGGTGTATCTTATGAAAAACAAAAGTGATGTAGTTGGTTGTTTCAAAGATTTTCATAAGCACATCCAGACTCAGTATTGTGCAGCAGTAAAAGTGTTGAGATCGGATAATAGAACAGAGTACACCAACAGAACACTTGGGGAGTATCTGTCAGCTCAGGGGATTCTACACCAGACTACATGCCCATACACTCCAGCTCAGAATGGGGTAGTAGAGAGGAAGAACAGACATCTTCTAGAAGTTGCTAAGAGTATGATGATGGCGATGAATGTCCCAAAGATGTTGTGGGGACAAGCAGTCTTAACTGCTGCTTATTTAATCAACTGAATGCCTTCGAGTGTATTGGAGTGGAAGTCTCCTCGTGAGACACTGAAGGGAGATAACGGGGGGACCCTACCATTGAAGGTATTTGGTTGTGTGTGCTTTATGAAGGACAACAGACCATCGATTGGGAAGCTAGACCCTAGGGCTGTGAAGTGTATATTCGTGGGATACAATGGCACCCAGAAAGGGTATGTTTGCTGGAGCCCGGTGGAGAAAAGGCTGGTTGTCAGCATGAATGTGCGGTTTTGGGAACTTGAGTCGTACTACACAGTGGGGGTTACTTCACCTTTTGGCGACTTGCCCGATGTTGGAGGTATGAGGCGAGAGGGGGAGAATGGTGAGAGCTCAAGGGGGTCAATCCCAATTTCGATTCCGTACTCAGAAGAGAAGGAGGATGAAGACGAAGGGGAGGAGGAGAAGGGGTCAATCCCAATTTCGATTCCGTACTCAGAAGAGAAGGAGGATGAAGACGAAGGGGAGGAGGAGAAAAAAAGGTGTGTTAGGCCTACAGCTCAGGGAGAGTTGCTTACATACAGTAGGAGGGGGAAGGAACCAGAGGTGTCTACAGTAACAGTGTCAGTGCCTAGTCCCTCGTCCAGCTCTGCTCCAACTCCTGAGACACCTACACCATCCTCCACTCTAGGTAATATCATTCCTACTCCTACCCCTCTCCCCACTCCAATGTCAGAAAGAAGGACTACTCGCAGAAATGCGGGAAATCGTCCTAAGAGATATGGTTGGGATCTAGATCATTCTGTTTCCTATTCTCACATATCCCCTTCACATGAAGCATTCATTGCATCAATAGGTTCTGTTATTATACCTAGCAGCTGGCAGGATGCTAAGAAGAACCCAAAATGGAAGGCTGCTATGAATGAGGAGCTGGTGGCTCTTGAGAAGAACCACACATGGGAGTTAACGACACTGCCAGCAGAAAAAAGAGCAGTGGGATGCAAGTGGGTGTTTACCGTGAAGCAGAACCCAGAAGGGAAGGTTGAACGATACAAGGCACGACTGGTGGCAAAAGGGTACAGCCAGACATACGACATTGATTATGATGAGACTTTTGCACCAGTGGCGAATGTGAGTACTGTTCGGACGCTGATTTATCTGACAACAAATGGTGGATGGGAACTACACCAACTGAATGTGAAGAATGTGTTTCTTCATGGAGATCTAGTGGAAGAGGTATATATGGAGATACCACCTGGATGTGACACATGGCAGACAGTGGGTAAGGTCTGCAGGCTGAAGAAGTCTCTGTATGGACTGAAGCAGTCCCCTCGAACATGGTTTGACAGGTTCAAGAGAGCCATGGTTAGTATGGGATACAGACAGATCAATGTTGATCATGCTGTATTCTTCAGAAGAAGTGGGGGTCACATCACTATGCTGACAGTGTATGTGGATAACATGATCATCACAAGGGATGATGAGAAGGAGATTGCTCAGCTTAAGGTAAGATTGAGCAAAGAATTCGAAGTGAAGGATCTGGGTCAGCTTCGATACTTTCTTAGGATAGAGATAGCTCACGGACCTAAGGGGATTGTTCTCTCCCAGAGGAAGTATGCACTGGATCTTCTTACAGAGACAAGGATGTTGGGGTGCAAGCCTGCTGCTACACCAATTGATCAGAGTTTCAAGCTGAGTGCTAAGGCGGGAGAACCTGTTGATCGTGAGAGATATCAGAGATTGGTGGGCAGACTGATCTACCTGAGTCACACACGTCCAGACATCTCATTTGCGGTAAGTGTGGTGAGTCGTTACATGCATGACCCGAGAAAGGGTCATATGGATGCAGTATATCAGATACTGAGGTATCTGAAGGGTGCCCTGGCAAAGGACTAAGATTCAGAAGGAGTGGCCATGTGAACATTGAGGGCTACTATGACTCAGATTGGGCTAGTTGCGGAGATGATCGAAAGTCTACCTCAGGGTATTGCATATTTATAGGAGGCAACTTAGTCTCCTGGAAAAGCAAGAAGCAATCTGTGGTGGCCTTGGGGGTTACGGAGTTGATGTGGCTGAAGAACATGCTGGTGGAGTTGAACCTTGACCAAAGGGGCCAAGATGAGTTTGTGGTGCGACAACAAGTCAGCTATCAACATCGCCAACAACCCAGTTCAGCATGACAGAACTAAGCACATCGAGATTGATAGATTCTTCATTAAGGAGAAGCTGAACAGTAGGTTACTGGAGTTAGGCCATGTTCCAACTAAGAAACAGGCTGCAGACTGCTTGACTAAAGGGCTTAGCTCAGTAGATCTAGCTAGAGGGTGTGACAAGATGGGCTTAATAGATATCTTTCGCTCATCTTGAGGAGTGTTGAAAAGATAATGTAACTAAGGAATATTAGAGGGGTTTTATGTAAATGTGAGTGTGAGGCTATATAAGCCAAGTCATTCTATCAATGAAGAAATATCTTAAAACCCTAATCTTACAATAATATCATAATCACAGGCTGTCAGAAGTAAATTTGTCTGAAAATATATCCATTGCACAATGAACTGTAAAACTATGTACACAAATTCACTTAATAGTAACATTCTAATGATAACTGCTTGATTGAATTCCATCTTTTCTTTTTGAAATAACAATCCAATATTATTGAAATATAGTATCATATTCCACATAGTTTAGTATCGCCGAAAAGAAGAGATGCATGTTATACTATAGAAGGAACTAAGGAGTAGGAATATGAAAAAGAAAAAAAAAGGAAAAGGTATACTAACTTATAGTGACCACCGACTGGGTTTGCCGCAGCTAACACAGAAGTGCGTGCTGATAAACTCGCAACTAATCCAGCCTTTGCAACTGAGACACGCTGCTGCTCCATGGCCTCCAGCAAAGCCTGTGGAAAATTAAAATGATGATTTCACCCACAGTGGAACGTTGAGAAACAATTTTAAGGAGAAGCCAGTAGTAACAAAAAAAAGGATACCTGGTGCTCTGCAGACATTTTGTCAAACTCATCAATGCAACATAATCCACGGTCAGCAAGGACCATTGCACCTGAAAGAAGATAATTGGCTATAATAAAGCAAAGAAAATAACATAAAGAAATGGTGAGGAGCTAAAACAGTAAAAATGAAAGCAAAGAAAAGAACATAAAGATATGGCGAGGAGCTAAAACTGTAAAAATGAAATCTAGATGAGTTTCTTTTTGTGAATGGTATGCAGTTGTGGGGAGGGTCCTTTACCCACTGACCCAACAACACCAAAACAGAAAGAAAAAGAGAAAAAGCCAAACCTAACACTTCAACTGACCAGAAATAAAGGGAAAAATAAATTATGAAAAGAACAAAGAGCACTTGGTAATTGGTAACAAGTGATTCGGAGATACCTAAAATTGATTTCAACAAGGGGAGGTTCAGTTGATTCTCAATTCCTTTTTCAAAGTATAACACACAAGCATAGATGCTTATGTTGCCAAAATAATAATGTGTACAAGTGTGAAAAGATCATATTTTTCTATGTATCAACACATTTACAAGCAAGAAAGCCTAGACTAAGATACCTGATTATACACAAAACCAATAATTAGAACCTGTTTAGATTGTAGTCTTTTAGTATGGATGCAGCTTCTAGAAAAAGGAGGTTATCCAACTTATATGTGTCCAAAAGTTTCTGTTTCTTGATTCAGGACTTCAGGGAACATCAATAGGATATGTCTTCCGAGACTATTGGTGCTTTAGATATTGGGAGGACAAGGATTCCCAAAGGAGGAAATGTGTTGAGATCTATGCTAACTTTCTAAAGCAATATTATTTAGATAGATCAACCTCTCTTCCCCATAATTCAAAATTGAAAGAAAAGGTTTGGCTTCCCTCTCAACCCCAAAATCCATGGGCACTGGGGTCAGCTTAGATACGCTTGGGGGGCTCATGAACTTTATATTGGTCCTATTCAATGTAAATACATTATATTCATGCGCTGTGTTAATGCAAAACAGAAGATTCAAGCAATAATTAGGGTAAGAGTTAGTTTACCTTTCTGATTTTCTTGATAAGAATTGGTATAAAAGTCGCAAAAAGCTCACTACTTCCATCATTTAGTTCTAGCTATTGTAGTCACTCAAAATCCCGAAAAGATTCAAAAGCGCTTCTAAATTGTTTAGGGCGCTTTCCTAATGATAGTTTAGGGCTCATTGTGTGCATGTTCACCACATGATTAAAGAGATTAGTTCAGTTTCTCCATTTCTGGACAAAGCTTAACAACTCTTAACTTCACTTTGATACTAACTGAGGACATGAAATGTGTACTCCATTATGGCTCAACTTGTTTATATCTTCCTCAGATCCTCTAATTTAACCATCTGACTCGGGGCCAATATGAAATAAAACTCCAAAAATAAATGTCCTACAGTACACTGCATGTTACATTAACTAAGTTCAAGTTGTTCCATTTTAACAATGCTGAACCAGTAGGAACATAGCAATCATGTCAACATGGTGCCTATTAACTGAAGCATGTCCAGCACAGGTCACCTCACTTTTTTAAGTTGTGCTGTTTTGGACAAAACTGAACTACTCTGCACTTCACCAGTGTTAGCTGCAAAACAAAATGCAAGTTTATATATATTTTGAAATATTTTCCATATTCGAGTGGTCAACATGTACCACAGCTCTAAGATGTGAAGGCCCAGGCAAATGAGAAGCTGTGATTTACAGGTATAGAAAATGTGAAGTTGATCTGATCATCTGAGCAGTTTAAGATTAGTGAACATAAGAAAATTTATGACTTGTACCAGCCTCAAATGCGTAATCACTTGTCATGTGATCCTTGACAACAGCAACAGTGAGACCAGCTTTTGTTGTAGCATTGCCACACACATATATTCCTCGTGGAGAAAGAGCTGCTGCTGCCTGGAGAAGTTGGCTCTTACCCAGTCCAGGGTCACCTAAAGGAAACAAACAAGAATTGGTGTTCCCAGGAAGTAGCTATAACAGCAAAAGTATGGCAAATCAAACGGTATGTAAATTGAAAGCGAGTGTAAATAATGATAATATATTTGGAAAGATTTATAGGATAGCTGATAAAAGATGACAGTATGTAGTAATTACCAACTATAATGACATGGATGTCCCCTCGAACAGGAACTTTATTCTGATCCATTGAGTGTTTTTGCACACCTCCAAACAGAGCAAGTGTAAGCCCAGCTGTCAAAAGAGGCTAAACTTAGCAAACAAGTTTTGCTGTCCAGCACAGGTCACCTCACTTTTTTAAGTTGTGCTGTTTTGGACAAAACTGAACTACTCTGCACTTCACCAGTGTTAGCTGCAAAACAAAATGCAAGTTTATATATATTTTGAAATATTTTCCATATTCGAGTGGTCAACATGTACCACAGCTCTAAGATGTGAAGGCCCAGGCAAATGAGAAGCTGTGATTTACAGGTATAGAAAATGTGAAGTTGATCTGATCATCTGAGCAGTTTAAGATTAGTGAACATAAGAAAATTTATGACTTGTACCAGCCTCAAATGCGTAATCACTTGTCATGTGATCCTTGACAACAGCAACAGTGAGACCAGCTTTTGTTGTAGCATTGCCACACACATATATTCCTCGTGGAGAAAGAGCTGCTGCTGCCTGGAGAAGTTGGCTCTTACCCAGTCCAGGGTCACCTAAAGGAAACAAACAAGAATTGGTGTTCCCAGGAAGTAGCTATAACAGCAAAAGTATGGCAAATCAAACGGTATGTAAATTGAAAGCGAGTGTAAATAATGATAATATATTTGGAAAGATTTATAGGATAGCTGATAAAAGATGACAGTATGTAGTAATTACCAACTATAATGACATGGATGTCCCCTCGAACAGGAACTTTATTCTGATCCATTGAGTGTTTTTGCACACCTCCAAACAGAGCAAGTGTAAGCCCAGCTGTCAAAAGAGGCTAAACTTAGCAAACAAGTTTTGCTAGTTCTTAGTAAAGAAGGCAGAAACATAAGGAGATGGTTGTGCAAGAAGAAAATGGTAGCATGTGAAGTTACTTAGCAATAAACATTATGCTTAGCTGCAAGTTGCCGAATGTGAATGTGCATTTGCAGAGTCTATCATCTTAACATACTCTCAGATGGTGATGATTGAAGTATAAAGTACCTTTGACAAGTTCCTGTCCATAAATTGAGGGGCACAAAGACTGAAGTATCTGGCGGAATATATCTGAACCATACTCCTCTGAGAACTTAACAATAAACTCTAAATCTTTAGATGTAAAAGAAAGAAAATCAAACAACATCTTGTCTCTGGCCTGGGAATTCGCCACTTGAAAGTCTTCAGAAACAGATTGGGACTTGGAGTTTCTAATTGAAACTGCTTCCAGATATAGATAGTACAAGCCTTGGTTCTTACCCTTAGACTTCCCTGAAATTCACACATACATTTGAGTCTACCCTCTTAAACATTTTGAGATACGAACAATGTATTATTTCACACATACATTTGAGTCTACCCTCTTAAACTTTTTGAGATTTGAACAACATATTACTTCACACATAAACTTTTTGAAATTCACACATACATTTGAGTCTACCCTCTTCAACCTTTTGAGATACGAACGATGTATTATTTCTAGTACAGGTAAACTTGACATGGATGATAAAGAATTTAAAGCAATTATGGATTATTTCTCGTATAAGTACTCTTTGCCATGGATTATAAACAATTTAAAGCAACTATGGACCATAGTGATATGAAAGCAATGGGAAACAGCTGGAATGCTGAATTTGTGTCTGTGTAGACCAATTGCGTAATAGATCCTTCTTTTATGATTTAACAAGTTATTTAGCATATCCACCAACACACGCTCAAATGACTATATGCAGCTAATTTTTTTCATACACTTGACTTAATCTGATCGTACTAGAACTCCAGACATGCATGATATGCACACTTGTGAATATATTATATCCAGGAACAAGTGATTTCATCGCTATGCATAATCAAAATGTCCGTGCAAAAAGCTGAATTATCTTTTAATGACTAAATCTGCATTAGGATTATCTGAAAGGATTTCAATTGAGACCATAAATATTACAATTTACAAGATAAGTGTGGTTTTTAAAAAATATGGTTCCAGCAATCATAATGATAGTATGTCACTGGCTTTAGTTTGCTTTCTAGTACTTTAATATGAATTTCTACTGGCTGTTTAACTTCAAGTGCATGCACAAGATATACCCTCCAAGAGAGTCCTACCACCCAAGGGATATACTCTCGAAGAGAGTCCTAACACCACCAAATGCAATGTTGGATATCCAGACAGCGTTATGGATCCTTCTTCACTGATGAGAAAAGAAATATTGGAGAAAGGCTAACTTTTACTCCATGTTTCTTAGAGAAATGATAGGGAAGTACTTATACCATACCTCCACCGATATCCATATAATTGTTAATTACTTTTATAACTCCAGTTACTGTCACAACATCCCCAGGTATGCAAGCATCAACAAGATCTTCAGCCAACTCACATTCTACAGTTCTAGGAACCCGACCTTCTTCATGACTTTCAGATTTCAGCATCTCCTGTAGCCTGAATAAAAAGAGAACAATATCTAGACATCAGCATGAAGCTGCAAAGGGCACTTCCAAACTTTTATAAAAAATACAAACTACATGCCTTATTTTTTGGAAATCTATTGGTTTTGCACTAGATCTGATTGGCAGAAAATTTTTGCTTTTGCATCCATACATAACACAGCTTGTTGGTGGTGAAAATTTTCCATCAGGAAATATACGTGGAACATTAGTTCCGCACTTCCCACATTCAAACTCCATTTGCAAAACGAGTGGTCTGACAGTGCTGACTTTGACTACCGTGCCTCGCACTGACACAAGCCTACCTGCCATAATGCAACTTGTCACTATGATGGAAAAAGACAAAGTAAAAATTGTAAAATAAAAAATTAGAAAAAGTATCAATAGTGCAAGAGCAACCAATATAAGCAGCTTTCAAATTCTTCAGAGCGATCATCGAGTCAGTGTAGTTATAAAGTCTAATGTTTATCTTCTCTACACCCTCGAACTGGAAGTCTTTTTCCTTTAACAATAGAGCCTGTTTACAACATAAGAGTAAATTAAATAATGAAATTTCCAATACCAAAAAATCATAGATAACATTAATCCAATTATACTGTGTGAACCGCAGCACCCATGCATGAGAGTGCTTCCTTCGGTGCTTTCTCCAAAGTGCCATAGAAGTCAGCAATGTTACATATTTTCTGAAGGTGTTGGATATCAACTGGTAGAAAAAAGGTGCCATTGTCATCTTGCACCTAGAGGGATTAAAAAGAAAACATCATTAAAGTTAATGTGCGGTATCATGCAGTCATTGATTGCCAAAAGACCAACTATGCTAAGAATAAATTGACAGAAAATCGAGTTTTACAGCAAAAGCGCGTACCTAAGTCCTTCCTCCATTACATTTTCGTTAAAAAGGTAAAATTCAGATTTAAATAATTGGAGCATAATGCCACTGGAAACAGATCGTGGTTTCTTTTTAAAAAAAATAAAGAAACCCACATAATGAGCTTTTCTTATAAATTTTTTTTATATTTAGTATCATTTTTGCATCCCAAACAAACCCTAACAAGAATCAACACGATTAATCAAACCTAAGCAAACTGAGACTACAAGGTAAACTTCCTAACGTATAAAATTAATTGCAAAAGCGCCCTAAAACAATAAAATTGGGTCATCTTTGCGCCTAAAAAAACCTTTATAAACTCCAGCTCGATTAACCAAACTAGCTAGCTAAAATTACGCTGCAGGCCTTCTAATTAACAAGAAAGCTACATGAACGCCCTAAATTCAACTGCGCAACACCATTTGCATGCCTATTTGCAATTCTAAAGAAAAAGGTGATTGAAGTACCAAAATGTGAGAAATTAACAAAATCGAAAGGGGAAAGTTGAAGATTCAAACCACCTGAGATAAGATACCATCAGCTTGCCGATTCGATAAAAATTCGGCGAGCTTGCCGACGAGCTTAAACCTAGGGTCGCCGGTCGAGAGATCGATGTCGGGGAAATAATTGGGCCAGATACTAGCCAGCCCGCTGGGATCCAGGGATCGATCTCTCCTGCTGCAGATCGTCGCTCCTTCGAACATCTCGATCTCTGATTTCTTGAAAAAAATTACAGCAGAAATTTTATTTTATTCCCGTTTTCGATTGAGCAAAGGGGAGGGTTTTGAAATGGCGGGAACGAGAAATTGTTGGATACTTTTAGGATGATGGGTTTAGGTAAACGGGTATCGCAGCCCGTTATGTTCTTACCCTACCCGATTATGGAGGGAAGTGGGGATTGAGGACTAGACAAATGAAATGAATTTATATATATATTTTATATAAAATAATATTCACATTACGCAACCAAGCAATTATCATATTGGGAAAAAGAACACTAAGCAACCAATAAGAACCTCCTATCATTTTAAATTTTGTATTAAATGAATATTTCCAAACATAGCTATCCATCACTCTAGTGTTTTTCATACAACAAAGATAAAAAAATTATTAACATTTTAAGTTGGCCCTCAAAGTCCCGATAATACCAAAACACAAGACTTTAAAATTTTAAAATAAATTTAAAAAATTAAAATCCAAATAAAAGTTGTCAGCATCCCCTCATCAACCACCTTGCTTGCTCAAAAGGTTAGGTTTTCCAAAGTAATTATGCTAACAAAATTAAGTATATTATAGTTGGTCTGTTTATTAATCAAGGATTATTTTTGGCGTGCCTAGAATATATAATAAGGATCATGACTCTTTCTTTATAGATAGAGGGCTTATTTCTTAACCCTCCTAATTAAGTATGAATATTGTTAAACCCTTAATTTAAGAGGTTAACTCATTTTGACCCTTTTGCTTTTTGTTTGTTGGGCATATTACGTACTATGAATTAACTTACTTTACGCTTTTTTCAGTCACTGGTTGCCAAACACGCTCATAGTTTTTAGTTATATCAGTGTAAATCTCAATCATTTGTGTAATGTTACGTATATAATATGGTTTTTGTCATATTTAGGTCTTAATTTTATTAAAATGTGCATTATTTTACCTTTAATCCTCCAATGTTATAACTCTTTCTTTTAAATCTGTTGGGTTGTTTTAAATAGCATTTCCTTAAAAAATTTAACCATCACTAAATTTTCACCGCAAAATAATTTAATAATTTTGGTGATTAATCTAGAAATATGGAGAATTGGAGGCCTAATATATAATTAAGAAAGAACACAACACTGGTAAATAGATCTAAACAATATTCATACTTAAATAGATCTAAACAATAAGTTTTAGTTATAAAAAATTAGATAATGCTTATTTAAATATTTTTTACATTATTTTCGTACTCCTCTTTTAAAATATTTTGTGGATATTGACTTTGGCTATTCTCCTCATTTTATTTAGATTGTTATGTATTTTTTGTGAATAAAATCACATTAAAAAAAATTTTCATCAATCTTTTGTACGAGACCCTCCCAGAACTGAAACCCTGTATCCGCCCTGCCCATTGGCCACGTCCTAAAACACCGTCGAGCTCCTCAGTTGGCCGTGGCCCGTGGATAATCTTTCGTCGCCAACAATAATCCAAGGCCCTGAACTCCCCAAACTGCCCCTCTCACCATAGAAAAAAGAAAACCCCAAAGCAAATCACTAAAATCCCTTTCTATAAATAACCCCCCCTTTAAACTCGCACTCTCCTTCAATTATCACCACCACCACCACCATCATCTTCATCTTCAATCAAACCCTAGAAGAATCTCAACCGCTCGCCGTAGAAGTCGCCATGCGATCGCGCCGGAAACGGCCGGAACCGTCGGTCACGTCACCGCCGCCGCCGATAAGCGCCCCTGCAGCAGCTCGACCCGACCGAGCCAAACCCGAACCCGAGTCCGCGTTGTCAATGGACTGCGATCGCGAGTCGACCTCCTCAGGCGATCGGAACGGTACGGATCATGCGACTCTCGACTCGGACGCCGCCCGCACGGAGGGTCCAGGTCGAAGTTCCAGCACATCGTCGCCGGCCTCGCCGGCGATGCGGCCCCCAGCGCCGTGCTCGCGTCCTTGACGGAGCTCTGCGAGGTTTTGTCTTTTTGTGTGGATGATGCTGACCTAGGGTTTCCGATGGCGACGGCGGGGCCTTTGCTTGTGAAATTGGCTAATTATGAGGGGAACCCTGAGATTATGCTGCTGGCGGTTAGGGCTTTGACGTATTTGTGTGATTTGGTGCCGAGGTCGGCTGATGAGCTGGTCAGGCACGAGGTTGTGCCCGTGCTTTGTGGGAAGTTGCTGGCGATCGAGTACTTGGATTTAGCTGAACAGGTTGAATTTTGATCGGTTTTGTTGTGTTTTTCCTTTTTGGGGTTTTTGATTGTAATTCTGATGTGGGTTTGTTTTAGTGTTTGCAAGCATTGGAGAAGATTTCGAAGAAGCAGCCGGTTCCCTGCTTGCAGGCTGGGACGATATCGGCAGTTTTGAGTTATATTGATTTCTTCTCTACTAGTGTGCAGGTGATATATATGTTTAAGTCTTTTATATTTGGAGTTAATTTGTTGTTTTTTTTGTTGATTGTTATGTTGTGGAAATTAGAGGGTTGCCCTGTCTACGGTTGCAAATGTGTGCAAAAAGCTACCTTTGGATTGCTCTTCGCTTGTCATGAAATCTGTCCCTGCATTGTGCAATCTCCTCCAATACGAGGACCGGAAGGTATTCGATGATTTCTCTTTGTTGGTTTCCTTTTTGTTGTTGAGGTACTTAGAGACCGTCTTTAACTGGATTTTTGTAATTTGATGGCAGCTAGTGGAGACTGTTGCAACTTGCTTGATAAGGATAACAGAAAGTTTTAGTAGTTCTTCGGAGCTTCTGGATGAGCTTTGCTCATGTGGGATGATTAACAAGATGTTACGTTTAGTTGCTGTTGATGGTCAGGTGTCTCTTAGCCAAACGACTTACGTGGTAATGCTTGCCATGTTGAGGATGGTCGCAGTATTGCTATGTTGCTGGAAAACTGTTCATATGAATGTGTACATAAAGTACATGCAGAATTGCAGACATGATGTAATTAGGATACAACTTGATTGGGGGTATCATCAGCCAAATATATTATAAATATGACTAATGTTAATCTATACTGGTGATAAAGAGAACGAAGGGATTGAAAACACACATGGCAGGAATTATATATAAGAATTAATAATGGAGTTTGTTTAATACGCATTACATTCTTATTGTCCCTCATAGCATTTTACTAGAACCCAACTAGGCTATTTGTTCTTATTAACTTACAAATATGAAAAGTTTAAGCACTGATCTATTGCACACATAATCGAACAACATTACTTTGTCAGAAGGAAAATATATATATCATGAACCCATTATTCAAGTATTAATTAATTATTAGATCAGATACAGTCGTGTATGTAATCAACTTATCTTTGTTATGTTATAAATTTGTTTAATTGAGATGGTCTATTTGACATGTATCCAGCAAGTTGAAGTTATCTGAATATCTTATACCAATCTATCATGGTTCTCACTCTTTCTTGGAAATGTCTGGCTTCATAAGATCTCCACTACCTTTAGTTTATTTTATTTCTTTTAAGCTAACTCACGCTGCACTCTTATACCTAATGTAGGGATTGATTGGGCTTCTCACTAAGCTTGCCAGTAAATCACTATTGGCAGTAAGGACTTTGTTTGATCTGAATATAAGCAACATACTGAGGGGTATCTTGGTGGCTTCTGACACGTCTCATGGCACCCCATACTCACCCCTCCAGGACACGCAACCTAACCAGGTATTTATGGTCTAAAACTTGCTTATATTTTTACGTGAGAAATTCTCTCTAGGTTAATAGTTTATTATCGTTTATGTTTTATGGATACGGGTGCGGGTACGGACACAGACGCGGGATATGACAAAATTGTAAAAGTTACGATATGGGTACACAGCTATATACATACATATTAAAGTTAATAATGTATATGAGGTCAATATTGTTTTTCATTTCACGTGTTATGAGAACTAAAATTCTTATACCATTATGTTTCTTTTATTTAGAAGATTATAAGTTGAAAAACTACTTGTTTTTTAACTAGATACCCAAATAACCCTTTAAATCGTACTTATGAACTAGTTATGTGCTAAAGCGAACCTTTCTTGTGTCCTACGAGTTGCATAAATTTGAGGTGAATTGTGCGATATGCATTCAAAAAGTGTATCACGAGTTTTTTAACTAATAATAAACTTGCTTATATAATTGAGTACATGTTTGCATACAAGAGGTGTCCGAGGAGTGTTCGACACAAAGACGGATATAAGAAGTGTCGAACATGGATACAGGAGCCTAAATGAAGTGTCAGGGTAACCTTAGGTTATCACCAATGCCAACCAGTTAGTCAGGATGTTGCTGTACAAGTAAAAAATGTGTTCATGTCTAATAGCTTAAATTCGACATCCCCTTGCATCTTTCTGTATTTTAAAGTTTCATTTAATAAAAGGTTAAAAATGAAGTTTTATATGATCTAGTAGGTTTATGTGTTTAAGAAGTCGTTTATAAACCACACCAATAAGTTGCTATCTAAAATGTTTTGGTTTATACTTATTTTTCAAATGCAGTGCAAGAGTTTTGGCCGCACCCAATGTCTGTTAGGTTGTTTTTCAACGGAAAAGGTCTCATTATATCTACTATTATCATGTGAAGAATCCTTAAGGGCCCTCAAAGTCTCACCCCTTGTTGGCTTTGAGGAAGACCACCATTTGTATCTTATATACTTAAATTATATAAATCATTAACTCTGTTCATCTAGATTTCTATCATATGTAATATTCTTTGAATCACTCCTCTAACTATATCTATTTAACGAAATTCTTATATAGGACATTCTGTAATATTTCATTTGCTCAGTTTACTTCCTTGAGACACACATATTGCAATTGTATAGTGCACATTTGACTACTTGATTGAATTGGTATCCCTTAGCAGTAGCTTTGGAAATTTAATTTGCTTTTCTCATGCATAAGCTTGCAAAGGATCTTATTTACTGAGGCTTGTATGGTTGCATCTTTTCTTCAGAAAAAAAGAGAGAACTTTGTTTCTATAATTTTTTCACCAAGGATAAAGTATAATCCTGTTACTGATATATTTCTGCTGCAGGTTCAGGAAGTTTTGAAGTTATTGAACCAGTTGATCCCTTCCACATCTAGGGACAGTGAGGACATTCAGCTAGTTTTGGCCAAGGAAAAAGTAATAGCAGATGAACCCCTGTTCTTGCATCAGTTCTCAGCAAATATCCTCCCTGCTGCAATTCAGGTGCGTTGATGCAAGTAGTACATGGTATTTCATATTTTTTGCTAATAAAGGCTTCTGGATTTTCTAACAGTTGGTCAACTCTGGCGTGAATCTTTATGTTTGTTACTGCTGTGTTTCCATCATAAACAATATTGTTTATTTTAGCACGTCTGACATGCTCTTGGATTTGCTCAAGAATACAAACATTTCCAGGTAAACAATGGGTACAATGAATGTTTCCTTGTTAGAAGTGTTTTACCTAAAATCATAAAACCTTTTGATTTGTGTGGCAGCTTTTTGGCTGGCTTGTTGGCAAGAAAACATGAACATGTGCTCTTTCTGACTCTAAAAATTGTAGAGACTCTCATGCAAAAGCTTTCGGGTGTATTTTCAAGCCCTTTTATTAAAGAGGGCGTTATTTATGCAATTGATGCACTTCTGATACAAAATGATTGTTCTCAGTCCCTGTCTCAACAATCCAGTTGTTCTGGCAGTCGATTGGTGGTCAGAGATTCTTCTAGGTGCTTGTGCAACGCGTTTAATGTGTGCTACTCTTCTTCTGAAACAAAAACATGTAGGCTTGGGAAAGATGCTGTCCGTAATTTAGCAGGGCACATAAAGGCTACATACTTTCATAATGAATCAGCCAATTGTGGGATGGGTTTGACTGAAATTTTAAAGAAACTCAAAACATACTGTGCAGAACTTGATGATAATGGTAACAAGTATTTAACGAATGATGTTGCTGAAAAAGAGGACTACTTATCTGATATACTAGGTCAAGTTTTGAGAGAGCTTAGTAGTGGAGACACAATGTCCACTTTTGAGTTCATTGAGAGCGGAGTAGTGAAATCTTTGGCACATTATTTATGCAATGGGAGATACCTTCAAGGATATACTGGTAGTCACAACTCACTAAATCATTCTCTTTCTGTGCTTACAAGATTCCAGACTTTTGCTGCTATTTCTTTGTCTAACTCGGGGATGACTTGGGAAGATTTGCCGCTGACATCATTTGTAAGAAAATTGCAGAGTGCATTGTCTTCTGTTGATAATTTTCCTGTTATATTGAGCCATAATTTCAAGCCACGGAATGTTCTTGTTGATATCCCAGTCAAACACACTACAATGAATCCTTGCTTAAGAGTTCGTTTTATTAGGGAAGAAGGAGAGGAAAGCATAGGTGACTGTAGTGAAGTTCTGACTGTTGAGCTATCGTGCACATTGGATGTCATTGAAGGATATCTATGGCCCAAAATCAATGGAAACAAAAACCATAGGCAGGCAGAACCAACAGGGGAGGATATTGAATCAGTTGACTTTGCTTCTGGAAGTCCATGTCCTGTTGGGAGAAATCATGAAGATGCAAGTGCCAATATAGTCCAGAAGCGACCAATATCAGATTTACCAGAGGTAAAGGCTTGTTTATTTTGTTTTTATTTGAAGAAGGAAAAGTTTATTACATGTTCAAGGCTTTCCTTCATGATAAGGTGGCTTCTAACCATACAATTAAAATGTCGTAGTAATTTTTTGGGGACAAACACTAAATTGATTACTGCTTGATATTTACATTTTTGATTGAATTATGCTTCTTTTCCCCCGTCTCTTTCTTAATGTGAGGCACATGTTGTGGTTTTCTCTTAATTGTTCAGCTGCAAAATCTTTTGGTTTCAATATGAGATTTTCTCGCCGAAGCTCATTTGTACTGCAAAAGCTGATGGTTTGTTCAGAGTTCAGTATTTTTACTCTCTTCATGTTGATGTTTATTAAATGAGTGGAAAAGAGCAACCCTTGATGGAAGGGGAGACTATTTTTTTTAACACAAATAAGACCATTTCATTTAGTTTTAGCTGGACCCCTTGGTGAAAGCGTAATCTTTTTCGTTGATAGGAGCATTCTCTTTAACTTTTTGATATAGTGTCAAGTGCTGGATCTTTCTTGAAGATTGTGATTAGAAAAAAGTCTTACACTACAAGAATTTGCTGTAGATATGAAAACTTTTTCTGTGATCATCTTCTATTCCAGATTCTAAACTTTCAAGGACAGACTTTACTGGTGGATACTGGTGCAAAAACAGGGGAGATCATAATTGGTGAGCAGGCGACTTCCTGTTTTGACCCTTCAAATTTTTTTTTTTTTTTTAATTTTGGAAGATGCAGTTCTGCATCATCTTGATTGGCACTCTCAAGGTTTTTGTCACTTATTTTCTCTCCTCCCTTCACGCAGAGAAGAAATCCAGACCTTCATCCTCTAGTCAGAGATGTGGCCAGAACAGAAAAGATTTAACTTCAAGCAAATATGATGAGCATCCAAATTTGATTTTTGCTTTTGAAGGGAAACATTTGAATCGGTCTTTAACTCTTTATCAAGCAATTCTACAAAGCCAGATCAAGGTAGAACCTGATATGTGTTTGGGCCCAAAGTTCTGGAATGATATTCACAAAGTGACATACAAACGAGCAGAGCCAATGATGAGCTGTGCAAAACTGTCTTCTGACACTTCTGAGTCATATCTATTTTGGGAAAAGATTGGATTCTCATGGCATAAGTTGTCATTCTTTTCCAGTTTGCTTCTAGCTGAGCTTCCATGCAAACTTGATAGGTTAAATCCGTCATATGATATACTTTTCATGATGAAAATCTTGGAAGGGCTAAACCGTAATTCATTTCAGCTGTTGTCCAATGATAAAAGCATTGCGTTTGCTCAAGGCAGAATAAAAAACGTTGATGATCTAAGTGTGGTGACTTCTACAATTCCACAGACCCAGTTTATAAGTACTAAACTCACTGATAAGCTCGAGCAGCAAATGCAAGATCCTTTGGCATTAACCACTGGTGGCCTGCCTCTATGGTGTTACGAGCTAACAGCTGTGTGCCCCTTTTTGTTTTCTTTTGAAGCAAAACGGAAGTACTTCCGACTGGCTGTATTTGGTTCCTCTGAGAATCAGTATCCTAGACAGATGCATTCAAGCAACAGCAGTTCCATTTCCAATAATGAGCGTTGGTCACAAACAGGGTTGTCTCAACGCAAAAAGTTCAAAGTAGATCGCAATAATATTCTGGAATCTGCTGCAAAAATGATGGGATCACTTGCTCATAGCAAGGCTGTTATTGAAGTGGAATACAATGAAGAAGTTGGAACTGGTCTAGGTCCAACTATGGAGTTTTACACATTGGTCAGTCGTGAATTTCAGAAAAATGGTTTGGGTATTTGGAGAGAGGATAGAAGTACTAGTATTAATGGGTCTGAATTTGTTGTTGCTCCTTTTGGATTGTTTCCTCGCCCCTGGTCAATGCAAACAAGTGTCTCAAATGGTATCCATTTTTCTGATGTGATCAGAAAGTTCTTTCTTCTTGGGCAGCTCGTAGCAGAGGCAATTAAAGATAAGAGGATGTTGGATATTCCATTTTCTAGAGCGTTTTATAAAGTTATCCTGGAGCAGGTATCCTATTAATTACCATGATATCATCATTACGTCATCATTTGTTTAGAATTCTCAGGCTAGCAGAGTTTAATTTCTGTTTAGTATAATGATGACCTTGAAATACAATATTTTGCGTTGTTCAGGAGATTGGCATATATGATATTCAGTCATTCGATCCTGAGCTGGGAAAGACATTGTTAGAGTTTCAAGCTCTTGTTAATAGGAAACGATATTTGGTATCAGATCCAAGAGTAAATAAAGGGGATCCCTTCTATTTATGTTTCCGGAATACAAGAATAGAAGACCTCTGCCTTGATTTTACACTTCCAGGCTACTCCGATTATCTACTAACCAGTGGAAGTGATCCTAGATTGGTAATACCCTGTGTTCTTTAGTATGAATCTGACGTTCCTTAACATTCTTGATCACGTAAACACCTTTTTATGGCATGTAGGTTGCTATTGATAACCTGGAAGAGTATGTCAAACTAGTCGTCAATGCAACTATCAAAGATGGAATTTCCAGACAAGTTGAAGCTTTTAAATCAGGTTTTAATGAGGTATATTCAACTATATCCCCTGAGTTTGCTTTCTTGGTATATTTGCTCCTACTTGAGATCAGTTTTTTTAATTGTGCTCTAGGTATTCCCATTGAAAGACCTTCAAATGTTTACTGAAGGTGAACTCGAACGTTTACTTTGTGGGGAACGGGACACTTGGGATGTATGTAACCTTCTGTTCCTTTACATGTCATGCTCGAGTGTTAGTTTTTACATAACCGAATCATTTAACATTCCCTATCTTTACAGTTTGGCCAGCTTCTTGATCACATCAAGTTTGACCATGGTTACACTGCCAGCAGTACTTCTATCACAAATGTTAGTGTTTTGATTATGGTCTTACTCAAGCGATGTTTGACTGAGGTTAGATTCATTCTCTAAATCTCCTCACACCATTTATAATTTTGCAGTTGCTAGAAATCATACAAAGCTTCGGATGTGATGAGCGAAGAGCTTTCCTCCAGTTTGTTACTGGTGCTCCTCGACTTCCTCCAGGAGGCTTAGCTGCTTTGAACCCTAAAATGACAATTGTCCGTAAGGTTTGTATATAACTTAACTGACAATGTTCTTAAATATGTTATCACCTAATATTGGCATGTTTTCAGCATTGCACCAATGACATGGACTTGCCAAGCGTGATGACCTGCGCTAATTACCTGAAGCTCCCATCTTACTCTTCCAAGGTGATTCTTTATCTAGGTTGTCGCTTTTTTCTCGTATGGGTCTGGAACCTGAATGGATATCTTTAGGGCTGGAAACGAATTGAAACATATTGAATCAGATACTAAGGTGTTCATATTTGTATTAGTTGAAAATCTTCAAAATCAAATTTGAAATTCTTATCTGAATTTCTTCAGGTCCGTATTAATTTATCTTTCGACTATTCATTAAAATACTTATCAAGTATATTTATCTGATTAATATTCTATAGTTTATGAATATCAAACTAAGAATATAGTTTATTTGGTTAAAGAGACCTTCATTTGGCTAAAGAATTTGATTTTAAAGTAGCATTTAAATATATACTTGGAGATTATTCCTTTATAATTATGATGTATAATCATAATTTGAATATTTGGTTAAAAAAATTGATTTGGGACTCTTTAGTCTCTCAAAAAAGCATAGACTCTATACTTAAAGAAACGCGAGGTATAGTATCATGGGTATAACTCAAGATATAATGGGTGTAATACCGCAAGATCCAAGGGATCAAATTTTAAATGAATATTTGATAGTAAAACAAATTGAATATGTAAAAAAGCCCATAAATGATTTGTTTAGTATCTGAACAATATTTATTTATCTTAAATGATCTTCCTGATCGAATTTGAACAAATAATTAGACAAATACATATTAAACTATTTTATTATTATTCAATCCGACTTCCATCACCTAAATGTCAGTTTACACTGTGATCTCCCCGAGACAACCGGATTGGTCCTAGACTTCTAGTTAAGCGATCTCAACTGGAGAACTAGATGAAACATTTCTCCCAGAAACATTTCCCCTAAGCATATTTCTTTGATTCTGTTCTATCCGGAAGTTATTACCTATTATTTACCGTGGTGTTTGTGTTTGCAGGAGAAAATGAGACAAAGGCTTTTATATGCAATAACTGAAGGACAGGGTTCTTTCCACCTCTCTTGATGACTGACATAATCTAGCCATGGTAAATAATCATATGTGAATTCTGTAATTATGACCTTAGAAGAAGATGGTAGTGTTAGCTGATTCAGGGTAGAGCTGATTGTGGGAATCTAGGAAATAAAACCCATCTCTACTAGTGTGCAGAGTTAATAGTATGTAGGGAGGTGAATGATCCCTTGTACAGGTAGGGTGCAAATTGGAAATAGGAGATAATTTTAAGAAGAATCCCTTTTTTTTATCTATATATGTATATATATTTGAGCCATGCTCTTGAATGGCTCTTTGTACAGAGAAAATTTTGTGTACAGTGACTGATTTTAGTGATACTTATCTTTAACTTTTATCAGTTTGTATATATTAAGACGTCTGTTCAACATCTAAGTGTTCCAGTTTGCTATTTTCAGGCACTTGGTCTTCTGGTTTCGTGGTGTTAGTCTGCAAATTTTGGTGATACTTATCATGCTTTGTCAATGTTTACATAAGAGCGCGTTGATGTTTAAATGAATTTAGCACCATAATCATTGTCTTAAAAAGTCTCTGCCTTGTTCGTCTAGGCCTAGGATTACCTAGGCCGTCTAATTAGCGTCTAATTAGCGTCTGAAGTACTTAGATTGTCCACCTATATTTTAAAAGTATTTAGGGGAGATTGTTTATGTGGATTACACCATTTAGGTCTTGATCGTGATTTTCTGTGTTGCAGCCTTCACGTCCTTTAGCCTCCTTCAAACTCCTTTAACTTCCAAATGTTTACACATCCACTATCTCCTACGATCTTTAGTAGAATCTTCTTGACCACCACTTAAATAAAGAAAGAAATCCGTCTAGACACCAATTTGACACCTAAGCTTTTTATAATGTCAACATTTACTATCAATTATTGTAATTAAAGATAAAAAAAAAATCCTCCTAGGCTTTACGTGTCGGGTCCAATGCCTAGGACTCTTAACGCTTTCTATAGCCTTGTTAGTTATTATTTTGACTATTTAATATTAAATATGCATGGTTTATTGTGGATCTAAGATTGCTATCTACTTTTTGATAAATTTATATAAATTTAATACGTATTTTTATTAATTATTATAATTAAATAATTTTAAAAATAGCCAAACGCCTAGGTGCCGTCTAAGCACTAGCTCAAACACCTAGTTCGCCTAGCGCTTTCTATAACATTAATCATAATTTATATCGATATTATTTGGCAGAAGATGTGACTCCTTGTAACATAATTTACTGTTTGGTGGAGCTTGATGAGCTCAGAGCACTTCAGATTAGCAACGAGTTAATCTACTCTTCTATACTTAAAAAGAACTGAGAACCTAAGAATTATTGTTCATACTACAGTAAATACTACAGTCCTAATCTGCACTCTATGTTTGAATTATTGTTTAAAAATATTGTAGTATAAACAGTAAACCAAATTTGCCCTCTATACTTGGAGTTTTTTATTTCAAATTATTGTAGCATGAACAACACTACAGTAATTTAATGTGCCATGAATATTAACAAAAATCTGCCCTCCATACTTGAAGGAGTATTTTTACTTCTCATTATTCATTCTACAGTAAAAAAACTGTAGCGTAACATAAAATATTTTTACTACGGTATTACCATTTGGATCCTTCTTTAAATATGGATATAATTCCTAAATCAAATGTATTAAAACTTGGATTCTTTTTAAGTATAAAGGAGTAAATATGAATTTTACATCAAATGTATTAAAACTTGCATCATTCTTCAAGTATAGAGGAGTAGATATAATTTTTAATTTTAAACATAAAATAATCAAATCAAATGTATTAAAATTTAGGGGGAAAAGTTTAAAATGCAGTGCTTAAAAAAACAGTGGGGCTGTGCATTGCACGAGGTGAACACTAGTGTTGATATAATACTGAGTTTTTATAATACTGATGGCGGCTCCGTATGTTATAAACGATAATATCTGTTATCGAAGAAATTTTCTAAATAAACTTATTCACAATTTTTTTTAAATTGACCCCCTTGAGTTTTTTTACAAAAATCGACCCATTTTCTCGTCACGTCAGCATCGAAAGTGGGTCGATTTTTTTAATCTAGTTCCTAAATAGTCGGGGTTGCCAACCCCGACTATTTAGGGTATAGAATGTTTGGGTTTAGGATTGTAATTGGGGTTTTGCAACCTCCTAAATAGTTGAGGTTGGCAATCCTGACTATTTAGGAACGTGATTAAAAAAAATCGACGCACTTTCACACCACGATGTTGACGTGACGAGAAAGTGGGTCGGTCATTATAAAAAAAACTCAAAGGGGTTTATTTTAAAAAAAATGTGAATAGGTTTATTTAGAAAATTTCTTCATCTGTTATTTTAAAGATAAAAATGGGGGTTCTTTGCAGTTTTTTCTATTAACGGTACCAAATTCACCTAAGCCATTGTTGATGATGCTGAAGGGAGATATAATCAAGCTGGTGACAACTTTGGATACTTTCTCCCTGTCCCCTGCAGTAGACCATTGAAGGCTTTATATCAAAATAATCGGCTATATGATTTATTCTGAATTTAATAACATCACCAAAATGCGTTTTATTCGTTCCTCTACTAAAAGAACACATGAGCTATGATGACCAAACTAGATCGACACCGACGTCTTAGTTTCTTTGTACCAGATAAATTAAGTAGGAGCTCGTTTCAGTATATCTCAAATATCCTTCAAACTGTACAGAGCTCTAAGGGAATGCAAATTAAGGTTAGCCCGAAAACTAATGCAAGCAAATGACTGTTTTACTCAAAAGTTCAACTGATTTCACAGGGAATTGTTCGGCCGTACACAGCTCAAAAAATTGAGGTTCCCTTCACAGAGATACGATTACTTGTACAATTGATGCCTGTAGTTTCGACGGGGAACGCTCTACGTGTCTACAACCATTTCTAGACCGAGGAAGAAGCAAAAGAAGAGGGGTATATCGAAGGATGAAGCTACAGTAACTTTGCCGCTTCAAATTTCTTGAAGGTTCTTTGAGTACTTAGTACAGTCATATGGCCCGATATCTTGAGCCTTCTTCTTAACCTGCAATACGAGAATATCAATATTGGGACACTGGGAGCTAAATCATACTATGTATGAAGGAAAAAGGCAATGCTAACTACGCTACAGTTCGTATACTAACTTTGGTACAAGACTCGGGACATCATCATAATTGAAATCCCACATGCTTGCTGTCTTCATAGTATCACAGATTCACGTAGTATGAGAAGTAGACATATAGTCAACATTGCTCCAGAAAGAATAATGAAACTAAAAGAGGAGATGACGAGGAGAAACAACTAATCATATTCTGTCATAAAGTCTACTGTGATTTGTTTAATCCATTTTTCGTAATTTCTTTTCCAGCTCTAAGAACAGAAACATTGACTCGGGTGTTACATTTTCTTAGTTGGGAATCTTGCTGAGAATCAAGATTTTACACTGGTAGGCATAGGGAACGTTCAGATGACAGTGTGTATTGAACTTTGAGATTAATATGTAATCTGTAAACCAAAAATATCAGAGCTATCGCTATCTACTTCAAATGCAAAAGCAAAAGGTTTGTGTTAGGTTAGCATGAATACTTCAAATATGAAGCCGTGTCATGGCCACAAGCGGCAGACACGCATTTTGGACGTGATATTGTATGTAATTTTAAGTATCTCCATACAATATAAGATTTATGGCTTTGCAAGTAATAGAAAATAAATGTAATCAATATGAAACAAAATGAGATTGTACCGGTGACCAGGGACTGGGCTCTGGCAGAGCTTTATCTGGTGGCGAATGTTGTACAGGGCCTGTTTTCTTTTCCAGTATGTCCTGTAAAATAGATATGCTAAGGCATGAAACCAAATAAGGAAAATATACGCAAGATTTATATATAGTTGTGAATATAAATGCAGGAAAAAAAAAACTAAGGCGTTATTTGCAGAACAAAAAAGTTCATGCTATAGTATAATGATGTCTATAAGAACCAATTTAAGATGTTTTCCACATAGATGTAAGGTTCAACTTGGAGCACATTCCTAAGTTTGAGAAGGCATCACGGAAGAGCAGAGCAGATCTTATCAACCTGATATCAATCTAAATTCCTAATGTCTGTGCTCTGTGAGCCAGTGAAATAGTCGCTGGCAAAGGCAGCTAAAGGAAGTACATGGATTAGCCAACCAAATATCTAATCAATCAACTGTAAGCAAGATGTAGAATGTACATATAACAACATCATACGAAGCGTCTGGACAAGTCAACTAAAGGCAACATATAGATTCTGTTGTCGACAAGTAGGAATATCTACTAGCAGTTTGGCCTCATGAATAAGGGAAAATTTCTCCAAAATTCTTCTAATCCAGGAAGAATCTGAGAGAAGGTAACTATATTCAAAGATAAGCCAAATCAACGTCCAAAACATGGTCACAGTTCCAAACTAAACACACAAAACTGACTATAGATACTATCCCTGCTAAAATGATACAATAACTCGCAAAGAAGACAAATTCACAATAAGCACCCATAAACCAGCTCATCATAAAAGAGCAACCGATTTCGTCGTCGCAGGCTTTACTAGGAGCACAGATTAAGATCAATACTAATGATGGCAACCAAAACTTGCTAAAAGCAGGCAACTTTTTGAAACCAGAATCCAGAGTCGTTTAGAAGAAAAGTGAAATTGGACATCCGTGTCAAGTGCCAATGAATAGGAAAAACCAGCAAATCAGATCTTTCATACAAAAAAAGAAAGAGCGCAGAAGCAATTTAGAAATGGAATCAACAGAGGAAATGACATGATCATGTTGAGAAGCAGCAATTGTCAGGATATACAGTGGTAGATGGTTAATTCTTCTCATGAGCTGAAAATGAAAAAATGCATCTGAGATGGTAATCCTTGGGCATTGAATATTTTCTTTAATAAATTACAGTCCTTGGAAGACTGTTAAACTGTTCATCTCACTGAAAATTGCTTTCATTCACAGGAACCAAAGAGGACTGATCACTGATGCGTGCATATTTTGTTTAAAATGCTGATTTGGAGTTCTAAAACAACATACATTCAGTGTTTTTCATGATTACTTTGGAGGAGTGTAGGTGTAAATTTTGATCTCCCGAAACAGGGATTTCGTTTGTATTGATAAGAATAGCTTATTACAAACTAATGAATCGAAATTACAACAGAAACGGAGGGAATACCCTCCTTGTTTAACGTGGGGACTTTGGTAACTATAGGACGCCTCGCTCGGTTCTCGCATCGAGTCTGCTTCCCTTGGACGATTCGACCGAGGTTGCTGGTGAACTTAAGTACGCAGTAAAAGCTCGTGCTAGTCGAGTTCGAGTTTCCGAGTTCGATGGCGATCAGGGCCCGAAGCTAGGAGAGGATGCTATAATGCAAAGGTCATGCAAAGAGCTTGTCGTCAACTCCGTCGAGAGTTGAGAGCTATGGTTCAGCTAACCGATTGAATTAATCAGTTAACTATGAGCCAACCGAACCTCCTTTCTGTAGCCAGGAGAGGTTCTTAAATAGAGGAGAGACGGCGTGGTCACTCCTTGAATCATGGGATATAACCATGTACTGTTAGGAGATATCATACTTCTCACTTGTACTGTGAGCGGCCGTTTGAGTGGCTCGAAGCACTGTACTCTCTCTTTCACATCGTGGGAGCGGGAAGGCCCATCCCTATACGCATGATATTGCGGCTGTCAGGTACTCTGTCTGGTTCGGCGAGCTTACTGATCGTAGGCGAGTTCAGCTCTTGACTCGTGCAGGCGAGGCGAGCTTCATGCAGGCGGACTTGGCGATTGTATGGATTTGACCAATCACTCGTACTGTGAGCGGCTACTTGATGGGCTCGGAGTACTGTGCTCCTTCTCTTCACGTCGTGGGAAGTGGGAAGGTCCCTCCCTGTACGTGGTATAGCAGCCACCAAGTACTCTGACGAGTTCAGCGAGCTTACTGATCGTAGGCGAGTTCAGCTCTTGACTCGTGCAGGCGAGGCGAGCTTCATGCAGACGGACTTGGCGATTGTATGGATTTGACCAATCATTCGTACTGTGAGCGGCTACTTGATGGGCTCGGAGTACTGTGCTCCTTCCCTTCAAGTCGTGGGAAGTAGGAAGGCCCCTCCCTGTACGTGGTATAGCAACCGCCAAGTACTCTGGCGAGTTTGAAGAGTTTATTGATCGTAGGCGAGTTCAGCTCTTGACTCGTGCAGGCGATGCGAGCTTCATGCAAGAGGACTTGACGATTGCATGGATTTGACCAATCACTCGTACTGTGAGCGGCTACTTGATGGGCTCAGAGTACTGTGTTGTTTCCCTTCACGTCGTGGGAAGTAGGAAGGTCCCTCCCTGTACGTGGTATAGCAGTCACCAAGTACTCTAGCGAGTTTGGCGAGTTTGCCGTTTATAGGCGAGTTCGACTCTTGGCTCGTGCAGGCGAACTAAGTAAGCAGGCGGATTTCAGTTGCTTGGATGATGTCGACTCGTGCGGACGAGTCAATCATGCAGGCGAATCTGTGATCGCCAAATGTGGGCGAATTTGGTGATCGCGTGGTCTTGGCTCGTGCTGGCGAGTCAAGTACGCGTGTGAGCCCTATTTTCAGTTCGTGCGGGCAACTTGAATACGCAGACGGATTTCATGTTTATCTGCTAAGGTAATTTTTACCGTCTACAAGGAGGAAAAGATGTAATGCTGTTCTGGATCACTAATTAGTCAGGGAGAAGACAAATTTTCGAAGTATACTCAAATTTGATAAGAGGCGACAGTCAGTACGAAGGTGTCTCCCATTGAAATGGGTCTGTTACGAATCAGAAACTACGGAGTGCTTCTTAGAAGATTTTGCAAGAGTTTTCTTTCCACTATTACTAAATGCCGTGAATAGAGTTTAAACATCATTATAAATATGTAAAAATGATTAATTTGTAGACTACAATAGTAGTTGGATAATATTCAACAAAGAACTTCTCAATATTTTTTTAATGTAAAGTAAGCTAACCTCCCCCAAAGCCTCAAGAGCAGCTACCCACTCATCTGAGAATGGTACTGCATTAGGCAAAACCTCACCACGTGAAGCATCAGTACCTGTCGTATGCCTGCAATAAAGGAGTGTTGACAAGGATCAGATGCATGCTATGTTCTCTAAAGCATAAAACTTAGAAAAGCGTTATCTTGATAGCCTCGAATACCCACTCGCACATCGACAAATCCTGTTTCCTTGAGCTGACGGCTTTTATTGTGTCACAATGTGGTCTGGAATCTTGAAACTCCATTTCTTCTATATGCACTGGTTCATGCTTTTCTAAGAGGTTACTATTTGGTTCACTTGTCAAACCGATCCATCTAGATGCTGCAACATGGCTGCATATCCCTGAGCTTGAAGATAAAGGAATATCAGCTTCAAAACTGTTACTAGAATAAGCACTTGGAGATTCCTTTCCTATAGACAGGTCAGCTTCTGTTGAAGCATCAAACAAATTGCTTCTGGCCGTAAACAAAAGTTCCAAGTCAGAGGGAAAAACAGAAGCTCCAACTGATTGTTTGTTCTCAAAAGTAACCGGATAATGACAGGAAAAATTAGAATTTCCAGCTGATAGATTCTTCTCAGTGGAAATTGAATATGTTCTATCTCTCACGACTTTGTCATCTAACATTTTGGACAGAATATGTTCCCTGAAAACACCTTGTACTTCTTTTGAGTCATGTTCTTGTAGCTCAGAGTATAAATGTGATTCCTTGGAACATGAAAGATCACTGTTGGAATCTTCTTGAGGTGGGTAATCATCACAATTATCCCCGGGAACATTAATTTTTGAAAATTGCTGGATACTTTGCACAAAGGATTCACTGCTCATCTTTGGTGAGCTAGCACCATGCTCTATTTCCCTGACCCTACCAAAATCAGGATTCTGTGAAGGTGATACTACAGACTGCTCATTAATATCTTGGTCAACCAGCAAGAGATCAGATCCTAACTGTACTCTACTATCCATCTGACGGCAAGACCTTTCAGAACTACTGGGTGTTCTCCTAACAACATTACCTCGATTAATCTCTGAGTTTGTTTCTGTTCTAAGATAAATATCACGAGGCACAGGCGGCTTCAAGCAACTCGAAGCCAAACAGGCCTGAGAGCTGCTAGATATGACAGAAGCTGCATTAGGATTTGCTGCACCAGTACCTTTTCTATTTTGCAATCCAACTGAAGTAGTTAGAGGCCTCATGTAACCAATCGGTCTCAGATTCATAGGTTTACTGAGAGAAGATATTTTACATTCTGATGGTTGGGTTTGTCCCTGATTTTGATTGCGGTATGAAGGAGAAACTTTTTCCTACAAGACAGGAAAATGAAAGGTTTCACAACAATGTTAAATCAAAATAAATACTAAGAATAACGAATGTCAAATGGAAGGCCATGGTAAACTCTGCTCTATATCATATACAAAGTCGGTTACTTTACATTCAGTCAGCATGAGTATGTGTAGAGACACACTAAAATAACAAAAAGACGGGGTTTTAAAAAAACATAAATTAGAATGTTATCGCACCATATTACTATCAAAAACTTAAAACCTTATATATAAGCTAGAAACAGATATCCATATAGAAGCAATGTTTTCATCATGGCATGTGTTCACGTTCTGATTATTTAAGGGCCAACTCCTAAACGTAATGACCAATGATGTAGTTATGCTAATAGTTTGTCAGAAGCCCACAAACAGAAGTCTTTAAGAACAGAGACCGTGTAGAGGGCATAGACACTTCACCTGACGAAAAAATCCTAATGACGGAGATGGCATCCGCAATGCTGATGGCCTTGCATTTGTGGGAGGAGGATGACCTCCTGAATCCTGGCTTTGTGGAAGCAAAGGAGCTGCTTTAGCAGGGGCACAAGAAACAGCTACATGCAACTTGGACGAGGATGATCTGTTTGTTATCGTTTTTGAAGTGGCAGTATAATTCTCAGCCTGTGGCCACCATAATTCAGAAGAGAAAATCTCAAAAACTGCTTTAAAGTTGTAAAAGATGAAGGACAGAGAATTATAAAAATATTTCACACTGGACCAAAACCTTGACTCATATGTTTCTATAATTTTTCAAGTAATGATTTTATAACAAATTTTGGGATTAAGGCTTATTCTTGTTGTGTTGAAGACAGTATCTTCTTCCAGTATTTAATAAACTTTTGTTAAGACAGTATATTGAAAAAAAAATTGTTGTTTGATTTCATTTGTACACTAAGCAAAATAAGTAGTCAATGCTCCTTTTAGCTTACCAAAATTTTCCCATGATTTTCAGCAGAAAATTTGGAAGAAGAGGAAGAGCATGCAAGGTCCATTTTTGCATTGGACAGTCTTGCACTAGCATTCTGTCCAACATTAACTACAAGACATATGATAACAGATAATCAGAGAACATAATTCTATTACAACCACCTTGAGAAACTAAATCACGTTCAGAAAGAAAAGAACCTTTAACAGCACTATGATCAGTCTTGGAACTTTTTGTAGTTACATTCTTCGAAGTTGTGGGAAAAGGTAAATGTAATTTTGCCGGTGTGAACTTTGGGAGTTTTGATGTTGGATTTACTCTACTCACATTTGCAACCCTCTTTTGTGTATTCTCAGAGTTAAGATCACATATAAATAAAACAGGAGAACAAATGTACAAAACATTGAATGGAAGAATAACTATCATTCTAAAATAATGCAAGGAAAAAGGATATGAATGTGTAGATGGTGATCGTGGAATATTTCTGAAAATGCCTTTGGCTGAAGGTTTCTTTCCTGATGTCTGACAAGTGCATACCAAAGTTAGTTGAACACCCCAAGAACTTCACTTTACAAACAAAATCAGTTAATAACATGCTGAGTATCGGGAACCAAGGAACTTGACAGAGAAAACAACATAAAACCTATCCCAATATAACTAACCATCCCATGTGCTTCTGGCTCCTCATTGCTTGAGGAGAATAATTTTCTGGGCCTTGAATCTTTCCTTTTAGAGTTTGTAACAGGACCATGAGGTGGCGGCTTAATGTTGCTTTTACTGTACTCTGTCAGTGGCGACATCTCGCTAACCGACGCAAGATTGTCACTTGATTTATTTGTAGATCTACTAAGAAAAGACAATTCCATCTGATCTAGTACACCTGATCAAACTGAAATTATGTTAAAAAATTTTAATGATAAATGCGTGCGACGTAATCCTTTGGAAAATACAGCACCTTCCTCAGTAAAGAAAGCTTGATTCCAAGCCAAGCTTTTCCTCAAGTTGCATCCTCCAACCTTTTTGTTCCTATTTCTCTGCATCAAAGCCCCTATTTTGTCTTCTTGGACTGAACAAAGATTCTCCTTTTCTTCCATCTCATCATCCAATGACCCTGCATGTGGAAAACACAGACTATATTCTAGCAAAAATAACTCATTTCCTCAACATCAACAGCCCCCACCCATAAACAGATAGAATTTTGAAACTAAAATAAAATAAATGTAGCTAAATTTGCAATTACACTATGTAATTTCTAATCTACTTATTCTATCTTTCGAATTTCTCTAAAAAACACCAACTTTACGAGAACCATCAGATGAATAAAAAACAAGAAAAAAAAATCCCTAATGGAAAGCACTAAGAACTCATGGTCCATCTCATCCTCGAATGGCCCTGCATTTGAAAAATGCAGGCCAAATTCTTACAAAATAGCTCTTTTTCATATCAGTTACACTATTTCAACCACAAACAATTGACGAAAACCCTAAAATAAAACCTCATGATCTGAAGAAAAACCTAACCCTAGAGAGAAGAAGAGAAGGGTACCTGTCATTGGAGACTGAAGCATTGGAGCTTCTCTCTCTTCGGTCATCTTAGCGACGGAGAGATCTACAGTCTCCGTTCTCACTTCGATTTTATTTTGTTTTTTGTTTTTTGTTCCCGTGTTTTTGAATATGCACGGGATTTGATGCGTTTTATCCGAATTTTTTTTTCAAGTGATCGCGAGCGGGAAATGTTAGGCACCCTATCTCTAACACCCATTGCGTAAGAGTGGGACCCACTAACTACGTTTGACTCTCTGAATTGTGGGGTAATCATATCGCTTCTGGTCGCGTCGTATATTTTTATTTGGAAAAAGGGGAAATTTCAGAAAACCCATTGAACTCAAGGATTTTTGCACAGATTGAACCACCTAAAACCTTTCTAATGACAAGAACCCCCTGAACTTTGTGAATTATCATGAAGAATGAGACAGCATGCTTGTTTGCTAATCAGGGTCAATGCTGCAAATAAAATTGCAAGGTATTGTCGGTTAATACTGGAATATATTGGGTGATATGGACGGTTGGAAGATTCTAATACGGTTCCCATGTTCTTGGGTTTGATTCTGGGTTGAATTATAGAATTAAAAAAAACCCGCTACATAATTCTTCACCCCAATGATTTATGTCAACAACAATAAATTTATAATCTCTCTCACCCTCCCTCCCTCCCTCCCTATATCATGAATCATCACTCATCAGAGCCTTTTGCATACCCTAATCATTTTTGTTAGATAGAAATAGTGTAAAATTGTTAAGTCAATATGAAAATATCATATACTATCATCACAGCTATGAATTATGTTGTTTCATTTATTCATTTTTATAAGACTAACTCACTAAGCTACTACCATGAACTTCACATCATTGTCGTATAACTATCATAATTTTATGCTATTGTCGGATAGCCACCATGAACACTTACATTATTCTCTTCTTAGATATTATTTCTCGACTCATTTTAACTCTCTTCTAGCGAGATAAACTAAAAGAGTTACAAAAGGGAAAACGTTAATTAATAGTGTTGTTATTTGTTGGCCCAAATAAGATGGCCCATTACCACTTAGGCCCAGTTCCCTCTTCTCAGCAACTTATGTGCCCTAGCCCCTCTATTTTCTTCTCCTACCCGATACTTCAAGATCTCCTCCGATCTCTGTGATCCGATGGCCGCCGCTGTGAGTCCCATCCGTAGGTCGGCTCCTACCTCTCTAAACCCTAGCCTCCTCCTCCATGTCGGCTGCCCCCTTCCCCATATAAGGTGAAGGGCCGGTAGTAGCTTGGAATAGGAAGAAAAGAGACGGCCGCAAGGGTAAGGTCGAAACCCTCCCCTAGGGTTTCGCTCAGGTGAGGTGACGGAAATCTGTTTCTGTAGTTATTAGCTTGATCTTGTCTGCATCGCCATTTTTGCTGTTCCTCTGCATTCAATCTGTTTGAATAATTACAGTTAAATCAATGGTATTCAATCTGATTTATCTCTGCCTTTGTTGAAAAAATTACAGTAAATCTTTGGGTCTGTTAAATTTTTTTTCAGAAATTAAAATACTGTTTTTTTTGGGGAGTGCTCGTGTGAAAGATCAAAGAGATTGAAACAAGAACTTTGTGTTCATCGTTCTTCTCATTTGTTCGTGCTAGTTGCTTCACACGTTTCGAGCCGGATAATTACCAAAATCGTGCTATTTTTTTGCTGTTTGTTTTTCTGTGTGAAAAATGTCCGCTGCTAATCAATATAGTATGATTCAATATGGTATGGCTCCGTTCAACGGAAAATCTGATTTTAGCATTTGGAAACAAAAAATAAAATGCATCTTAATTCAACAGAAGTCCGTTAGGGCTGTTGGTCAGACTTATTTAACCTCTGACACTGAAAATAAACGGGCGGAAATGAACGAAAATGCTTGTTCCACAATTTATTTGAACTTATCTGACTCTGTGATTAGAAAAGTTGGAATTTTGGACTGTGCTAAAACTCTTTGGGATAAACTTGAAGAACTCTATACTGAAACCTCTTTGCCCAGTAAAATGTTTTTGCTTGAAAATTTTTTCAAATTTAGATTGGATATGTCTAAGGACATTGAGGAGAACCTAGATGTTTTCACAAAACTTATTTCAGATATTAAGTTAACTGGTGATAAACATATAGATGATTATACTCCTATTGCCCTTCTAAATGCTATTCCTGACTCATATAGTGATGTGAAATCTGCTATTAAATATGGTAGAGATGAGGTTACCCTTGATGTTGTGGTCAATGGTCTTAAGAGTAAGGAATTAGATTTAAAACATTCTGGGTGAAATAAAAATTCTGGTGAGGTTATGCATGTGAGGGGTAGGCCTCAGAATAAGTCTAATTACCAAAAGAATGCTAGTAATGGGGAATCAAGTAAGAAAAAATTTGAAAATGGAAGAGGTAGATCTAAGTCCAGGTTTAAAGCTAAAAAATGCTATAATTGTCATGAAACTAGTCACTTTATTAAAGATTGTCCTAAGCCTAAGAAAAATCAGCAAAATGAACATGCTAATATGGCTGTCTGTGAGGGCAAAATGGGTGAGATTTTCATGATTAATAATCTGTGTGATTATGCATATTTGAACTCTGTGTTATCTGATCCTTTGTGTAAATCAGATTGGTTAGTAGACTCTGGTTGTACTTTTCATATGACTCCTTTTAAAACCTTGTTTTCAAACTACAAGAAAATAGAGAATGGCTTTGTGTCAATGGCAAATGAAAAGAAATGCAATGTTTTAGGAACTGGTGATGTATGCCTTAGGTTTTCCTCTGGTTCTGTGTTTACTTTGAAGGATGTTAGGCATGTTCCTGATTTACGTTATAATTTGATTTCTTGTGCATCTCTAGAAAATGATGGCTTGGAGGGAAAATGGGGTAAAGGGGTTATGAAAATTCTGAAAGGGTCTCTTGTTGTTTTTACTGCTAAAAAACAAAATAATTTGTATATTTGTCATGCTGAACCTGTGCTTGATTCTGTTAACTCTGTGATAGGTGATAAATCTGTTTTATGGCATAATAGATTAGGTCACATGAGTAATAAAGGATTAGAAATTTTGCATAAAGGAGGTCACTTTGGTAGTGATAAAATATCCCCCATCCCTTTCTGTGAATCTTGTGTGCTAGGAAAACAACATAGGGTTACTTTTCCTACTTCTTCTTTTCCTAATCAGTCTAAGTGCACTAGTGTACTTGAATATTTGCATGCTGATGTGTGGGGTCCCTCTAGTGTGCCTACGCATGGAGGGAACCAATATTTTCTTTCCATAATTGATGATTATTCTAGGAAAGTTTGGGTTTTACTCATGAAACAAAAATCTGAAGTTTTTGATAAATTTAAAAACTGGAAAATTATGATTGAAAACCAAACGGGAAAGAAAATAAAAACTCTTAGGACAGACAATGGTCTTGAGTTTTGTAACAAACAATTGAATGATTTGTGTACTACTTGGGGTATTAAAAGGCATAAATCTGTTCCCTATACACCCCAGCAGAATGGGGTTGCTGAAAGGATGAATAGAACGCTCTTAGAGAGGGTGAGGACTATGTTGGCCACATCTGGGCTCTCCAAGAAGTTCTGGGGAGAAGCTGTTTGTACTGCAGCAATGGGGTTGCTGAAAGGATGAATAGAACTCTCTTAGAGAGGGTGAGGGCTATGTTGGCCACATCTGGGCTCTCCAAGAAGTTCTGGGGAGAAGCTGTTTGTACTGCGGCCTATTTGATTAATAGGTCTCCTTCTGTTCCCTTAGGAGGGAAATGCCCTGAATTTGTGTTCACGGGCAAACCTCTTGATTTAAATAATTTGAGAATTTTCGGGAGTGCTGGCTATGTGCATCAAAAGATTGATAAGTTAGAACCTAGATCTAAGAAATGTGTTTTCTTAGGATATCCTGAAGGGGTAAAAGGTTATAGGCTTTGGAATAAGAGTGAACCGGGGTTTAAGGTAGTGATAAGCAGAGACGTTGTCTTTAATGAAAATGAATTTCCTTGTTTACCTTTACATGTTCCTATTCCTGAAAATGATGCTCCAAATGAGGTGGAGCAAAAGCCTATTATTAATCAACCCAAATCATTTCCTGAAGAAAAATTGAATGATATAATTATTGAAAATCAAGATGAGATTATTCCAAATGAGGTGGAGCATGATATGCAGGAAATAGATAACATGCATGATTTGAATGATTATCAACTCACTAGGGATAGAAATAAAAGAAACATTAGGAAACCTGAAAGATATAGAGATTGCAATTTGATAGATTGTAATATGTCTGAGTTTGCCTTTAATGTGTTTGAATCCCTTGAGTGCAATGAACCTAAGACTTATAAAGAAGCATTAAGGTCAAAATATTCTGAAGAATGGATTAGTGCTATGAAGAGTGAGATGGAATCCCTAAAAATTAACCAAACATGGAAACTTGTTCCTAAACCTGCTAGTTGTTCTGTAGTGGACTGTAAGTGGCTGTTTAAGGTAAAACAAGAATCTGAAAATGTTAGGTTTAAGGCTCGGTTGGTAGCTAAGGGATTTACTCAAAAGGAGGGAATTGATTATGCTGAATTTTTTGCTCCTGTTGTCAAATTCACTACTGTTAGAATTATGCTTGCTTTAGTTGCTCATTTTAATTGGGAATTAAAACAAATGGATGTAACTACTGCTTTCTTGCATGGTGATCTTAATAAAAATATTTATATGCACCAACCTGAGGGCTTTGTGGACCCTAAATTGCCTGATCATGTGTGTTTGTTAAAAAAAAGCTTTGTATGGTTTAAAACAATCACCTAGGCAATGGAATATTAGATTTGATAAATGCATGCAATCTTTAAAGTTTAAAAGGAAAACTGCTGATCATTGCCTGTATTATAAGAATATAGACTCTGTGCCTGTATTTCTTGTAATTTATGTGGATGACATGTTGATTGTTAGTCCTTGTTTGAAGTCTATTGAGCATGTTCAAAAATGTCTTTGTGAAAATTTTGACATGAAAGACTTAGGTGATGCTAAAAGAATCCTAGGCATGAATATTATTAGGGACAAAAACAAATCTACTCTAGTTTTAAACCAAAGTTCATATGTTGAAAAAATTTTGAGTAAATTTGCTATGTCTGATGCCAAATCTGTGAATGTGCCTCTTGCTTCCCATTTTGTGTTAAGTAAGGATCAATCTCCCAATACTGAAACTGAAATAAATGATATGAAGAAGGTGCCATATTCGAATGCTATAGGATCTGTCATGTATCTCATGGTTAGTACTAGGCCTGACATTGCATATGCGGTTAGTTGCTTGAGTAGATATATGTCAAACCCTGGTATGCCTCATTGGAATGCCTTGAAGTGGCTTTTAAGATATTTGAAATCCTCTGTGGATGTAGGATTAACCTTTTCTAAGTGTTCTGAAGGTGTCAAACTTGCGGGCTATGTAGATTCCAATTATGCAAATATAGGGATAATAGAAAATCTACCACTTCCTATGTGTTTACTTTGTGTGGCTCTTGCATAAGTTGGAAATCCCAATTATAACCCATTGTTGCTTTATCTACTACCTGCCACTGAAGCTTTTAAAGAAGCTATTTGGCTTAGGGGCCTTATATCTGAAATTGGTTTTCTTGATAAAAATATGGTTGTATTTTCTGATAGTCAATCTGCTATTCAACTTTGTAAAAATCCTGTTTTTCATGATAGAACTAAACATATTGATGTTAGATTTCATTACATTCGGGATATAGTTAAAAAGGGTATTGTCAAGTTAGAGAAAATTCCCTCTGAATTTAATCCTGCTGACATGGGTACTAAGTGTTTGCCTGCTGAAAAATTTATCTCGTGTCAAAGAATCTTGAATTTTGATTTTGGGTAATTTTCCTTTGCTTTGTGTGTTGCCTTTGTGGCCTATTAACTTGCTTTGTGCTTGTTAATAGAACCTATCGGCTGCTCACATGGGTTCTCAGGTATAACGCATTCGTCTGTCCGACGCGTCTTCTTCTGAGTAGACATTGCCTTGTTGGCCTTTACAGGAGTCACACGTTTGGACTCACACCTCCGTGAGGGTGGAACTTTAACGGGCTCCTGATTTTCTACATGCACCGCCAAGTGGGTCGTCGCAGCAATCAATTTGTTAAGAGGTCGTGTACGACTCCCGGTCTGGGTTTCCTTTGCTTTGTGTGTTGCCTTTGTGGCCTATTAACTTGCTTTGTGCTTGTTAGTAGCTTTGTGATTCTTTTCCCCTTTGAACTCGATGACCGTTTGGTAGAGTTCGGTCCTTTGTGGACTTGGTATGCTCGGTGATTTTACCCCGATCTTTGTGATCTGAGTTTACTTTGTGTATTCTCTTCCATTGCTTGTATTTTCTTTGTGATCATACAAGTAATAATTTGGCGATGATGAGTCCTGCAGTTCCATGTTTTTCCTTTGTGCACTACTTTGGGCCAAAGGTGGAGATTGTTGTTATTTGTTGGCCCAAATAAGATGGCCCATTACCACTTAGGCCCAGTTCCCTCTTCTCAGCAACTTATGTGCCCTAGCCCCTCTATTTTCTTCTCCTACCCGATACTTCAAGATCTCCTCCGATCTCTGTGATCCGATGGCCGCCGCTGTGAGTCCCATCCGTAGGTCGGCTCCTACCTCTCTAAACCCTAGCCTCCTCCTCCATGTCGGCTGCCCACTTCCCCATATAAGGTGAAGGGCCGGTAGTAGCTTGGAAGAGGAAGAAAAGAGAGACGGTGTCTTGAGAGATCAGTGAGCTCTCCCCTTTGTGTTCTTGGTGGTGCACTGTGTGTGAAAAACGGGGACTGATTTAGCAGGTTTCTGAGCCAAACGACAACGCAGATCCTCAACAAATAGAAAGAGAGTTGCAGAGGAGGAAAGCAATATGAGATGATGTAAAAGAGATTTAGAAAGAATTATATAAAGACATTGAGAAAATTAAGAGAGAAATCAGAGAGAATTAAAGAGATTTAGCCTAAAGGGAGAAAATGAGTAGAAAAGAGGATAGAGGGCAAGTGAATATATGTTGGAGATAGAAATTAGCAGGGGAAACCGCCCCCAATGATTTTTAACTTTGTATGTATAAATCCACAAAATATAGGTTATATACCGCATTATTACTTATTAAACATTTTTGAAAAAGTTCCTCAAATTAATGACATTTCTATTAGGTACCTCAATTTTTATATATTGTGGTTCTACTCTTGATTGGATGATTAATTTGAAATAAGTTATAAGAATTGTGAGGAACTATAGCAAAAATTAATCATTTAGTAAACCAAGTTTGAAACAAATTGTACTAATTGGGGACCTATTGGTGATTTCAATGATGTGACGGGACTACTTTTATATTAATTTAGTTTCGTGCTCAGAATGGTGAGACATTATAGCAAAACTTAAATCATTTAATAAACTATGTCTAAAACTACTTACAATAACTGGGAACCTATTGGTGATTTAAATGATACGAGGGGCCACTTTTATATATGAAATATACTATTTTGTAATAATTTAAAATGAATAAATAAAGTAAAAAACATACATTATGAGTTTTGAAGAATATTGTGCACGTCAGTGATTATTAAGTGTGTTGCACTATTTTACTTATGATTTCAGATAATGTATATGAGGCAGAGGTTGTGCGCGACGGAAAGCCAAAACCAAACCGATGTGCTTCGAGAGACCAAATCAAACAAACGCCGATAGAAGACCAAACAATGCGAAATAATGGTACAAACTCAAACACAAAACTCAGAACAGGAAACCTCAATCAGGCCCAAACCGTTACGCGGTTGACCGCACATGGCGCTGCGGGCGACCAGACAGAAGACGAAAACCCACGAAAACCGATTGCATGGTCCTCGGTCGACCGCCGCACCACTCGCAATCGACCGCCAAAAGTCCAGAAACAATCCATGTTTTGTGCACGTTCGCGGTCGACCGCCGCGCCACTCGCGGCCAACCGTGAAGCATCCAAAGGTGTTTCTTCTTCTCAAAACATGTTCTTATCCAAATCTTTCGTGGTTTCTACAGCATATGGGAAAGACGAGAATCAATGAGTTTTATTGACTCGTTAAGATTACTGAATCAGACTATATAAAGCATTTACATCGTTAAATTTAGAAAGTATATTTTTTCAATTAACAAAATAGAAAATGGTTTAATGATAACATGCTTGATTTTATTTTCTCATTTGTGACGATGGCTAAACCCCCAAACCGAAGAATCCTAAACTCGTTTCCGATAGAAAGCGAAGTTGATTTGAAGTCTGAGTAAAGGTTCAGGAGGCAAAAAAGAAACTTAGGGGTTGTTAGTTACTTGAGACATTTTCATACAAAATGAGATAATCGTTAAAGTGGAATAATTTTTCGCTAACGGGATATTTTAGTGGGATAAATAGGAATAATTTTGTGAAGCAGGATATTTTGATAAAATAACGTGGGATAAATTTTTATAATCATGAGATAAATTTTTATAATCATGAAATATATATTTATGTCTTTTGAAGATATAAATACTATTTATGTATTTTAAACTTACTATTATTGATTAATGATTGCTTATAAGAATGTTCTTTACTATTAAATAACTTTTGATTAGACTATAAAATATTAATAATAATTATTGTAATGATGGTCTAATGATGGTGATAACTAAAATAGTGAAGTAAAGAAAAAAAGAAATATAAAAAATAAAAAATAACAAAATAAATATGAGTTCTAGATTTTTACCATCTAGTTCCAAGCTAAAACTTTGAATAATTTGAGAGACTAGAACTCTCATTTTTGTATAGAAAAAAAGGGATAATTTTGTACCATTATCCCAATTTTAGTTTTGTTAGAGTTCTACTTGACTAACACTGTAAAATTTTATTCTAGTTTTAGTTTAATATGACTAACACCTTAAAAATTTATCCCATAAATTATCTCAGTTCTAATTTTAAGTTCTAGGTGACTAACCCTCCGTAGAGAGAAATATTAGATAAAAAAAACAATGCAAATGATTTGTACGTGCATTGAGATATCTTGGGGAAAAAACTTACAATAGATTAGTTTGTTAGAGAATGTTCGTGTAAAAAAAGGGGAAAAAAAAAAGATAACGCGATGTGATTTTTTTTAATTTTACGAAGGTTAAAAAACAAAAGGGGTTTGAGAGCGGTGAGGCGGTTTCAGAATTTCGAGCATCTTCTCCAACACCCATCACATTTGGCATAATTTCCCCATAAACAAATAAAATAGATATTTTCCTTCTGGAAGGAAACCCAAGTTTTCCCAAACCCCACCTCGTCACATGCGTTCCACGTGCCTGCCCTGAACAGAAACCGCCGTGGCCCCCACCGGCAGTTCCCCCTCTATAAAAAGGGACGGTGCAGATCCCCTTCCCCAATTCATCCCGAGCGTCTCCTTCCTCCTCTCTTCTCCAGCGTCCGATCTCTCTCCTCCGCTCCTCACAAACCCTCAACAAAAAATCCCCCCCCAAAAAGAAAATTAAAAATAAAAAAAAAGTATAAAAATATATAAAAATCTCTCCATCAAATCTCTCTCCTTCGCTCGCGCGCAAATACGAAACAAAGGTAACCTCTCGCTCCCTCGCTCCCCTTTGCTGTTTCTAGGGTTTCGATCTCGGTGATTTTGATGGATCTAGGGTTTAGATCCCGATCTCGGATATGGCGGAGCTACCAGCGAGTCCCGGCGGCGGTGTTGGCAGCCCGGAGACGGCGATCACGAGGACGGCGCTCGCAACGTGAGCAGGATCATGAAGAAGGCGCTGCCCGCTAATGGAAAGATCGCGAAGGACGCGAAGGAGACGGTTCAGGAGTGCGTTTCTGAGTTCATCAGCTTCATCACTAGCGAGTGAGTGAGTTTGATTTCGGATTGGTTTCATAAAAAAATGGAAATTTGGGGGGGTAAGATTGAGTTCGTTTGTTTGATTGATTGATTTAGGGCGAGTGATAAGTGTCAGAGAGAGAAGAGGAAGACGATCAATGGGGATGATTTGCTTTGGGCGATGACGACCCTAGGGTTTGAGGAGTACATTGAGCCGCTGAAGCTGTATCTGCAGAAGTATAGGGAGGTATTTGTTTTTTCTAGAGCTCCTTTTTTTTATTTGTTATCTGATAAAAATTATTACTGACTTTTCCCCCGTTGTGTATTGATGGGTTTTGCTGGCGTCTGATGTGTTCTAGATGGAGGTAATACTCTCACTGGTATTGTTTATTGTAAAGTTTGTTCTTTGAATGTGTTTTATCTGATGCATTCTTTCAAATTATTCTGATATGATGGATTAACTGGGAAAAGCTTTTTTTTTTAATTCCGTTTGTAGTGCTAATATAATGGGAAAGTATAATCTGGATTCTAGAATCAGAAACTTTCTCTTGGTGAATGAAACCTATTTTATGCTTTATAAGTTTGTCTTAGTTCTTATTTATTTGTTGTTGGAATGTCTTATCGCAGGGTGATAGCAAGGTACCTAAAGCTGGAGAGGGCTCTGTGAGAAAGGATGGTATGGGACTTCAAGGTGGAACTCAGACCAGTTCTAGCTCCCAAGGGGAGTACAAGGTATAGGTTCCTACTTTGTTTGACCTATGGTTGTAAATTTGCTCTATTGTTTGATTTTGACCTGGTTTTGGATTTTATACAACAGATGGTTCAACAAGGATCCTTTTCTCAGGGTATGAACTACATGCAACCTCAGGTGATCTCTCTTTCTGTTTACAGACTTTAAAGTTCCCTTTTTATGCAATACCATTTGATGCAGTGTTGTCAGTCTTCCTTGAAAACTTTTTATTGTTGCTCAATGTTTTGGGGATCCTTAAACTTTTTACTCAAGCATATAGATAACTGGTTCAATATTTGAGAGAAATTATGCATTTCTTCCTAGCTCATGTAGGCTCTCCTCCACTTTAATTATACTTACAAACAAGTTGCAGTGACTGGTCACCGAGCCTAGGCATCAATTTGTGGGGGCTAAAATAACCTTCGTTCAATACATGTACTGACGTGATAAGTTGATAACTTGTAACTAGTGAAGCAATGAATAGTCTTGTTATACATATCTGCCTCATTTTAAAATTGACTTTTTTTGTATTTAGTTTACCCATTTTTATATGCCATCTACTTTATGCATTTATAATTTTCCTTTATGATACACCATTACCTCCTTGTGACATGTGTCATCAGTCACACCATTCTCCATCACTGTCTGATATTTGTTGAGTGCGAATGTGGATTTAATGTTTTGTTATGAGTCAAGTATTTCCTACTTTGATTGACATCAGCTGGTGCGGTGCAATTTTCACACTAAATTCTCCACTTACTATGTTTAATTTTTCACGGCAGGCTGTCAGTTTTGTTCGATCCTAATGGGGTCCACAATTTTGGATATATAACAATAAATAGCAACAACAATAACAATAGAGAAGCCTTTATCCTTATATTCGACGGCTCTGAAACACGGATTCGTCACGACACGTGTCGGACACGGTCAATCCGTGTCCGACACGGGTCAACGGTCAAATTAGGCTCGGACACGGTCAAAGGAGCTCGGACACGGCTCGGATTCGCCGAAGGCCGATTCAATCGGGTTGCGGGTTTGATTGTTAAAATCCAACCTGAACCGTTCGATTAAAAAACCATCCTTATTTCGCAAATCTCCCGTTCGATTCGATCCTCAGCTGACTCAAACGAAAGAAAAAAAAGAAAAAACCCTAACCCTAACCCTAATCCTCTCTCTCAATCTCTCAGCTCACTCCCGTTCGATTCAATCACCTCTGCTATTCCGACCCGATCCCGCCGACTGCTCCGTTGTTCCGACCCGATCCCTCCGACCGACTCCTCCTTCCTCCGACTCCTCAAGTCCACCCTCCATTCCTCCTCCCCGTCCAACACAATCACCGCCACTGTCATCATCATCTCCTCTGGTTTTTGAGTTCGGGTAGCAGCCCAACGTCATATTATCATCATAAATCTGATGAAGAAAGTTACAAATAATATATTTTAGATTGTTACTTTGTGATAGATTCATATTTTAGATTGTTAGTTAATTTTTATAAAATTTTCTATATATAATAATAATTAAAAAAAAATCCTTGTTGTATCCCCGTACCCTATTTTTTTGGATTTTGCCGTATCCCGTATCCGTGTCTGTATCGTATCCGGGTCTCGTATCCGCACCCGTGCATCATAGTTTGACGGTCTGATCATAAGATTTCTCATTGAATTTCTTGTTAGATTCACTGTAGAATCATTTAGAGGAAGTTTATTATTGAGCCTCATTATCATGTTTGGCAAGTCTTGTCTAGTTATGGCTTCTCAGCTATTGCGGCCAGTAGGAATTAGTTGATATGCACTTTGGTTATGCTTTTGTCACTTGGAACCTTGTTGGCCTGCTTTTTGGAGACCTTTGTACAGTGAGTGAATTTGGAAAAGCTGTTTTCACAAGATCTGGAGGCAAACCTTCCTCCTTCAGAGCAATGTGTGGTCACTAAGGCTTGAATTTTAGGACTAAATGCAAAGAGTTTAGGTATAACATTGATCCTCATGTTACGCCATTGGCTCGAATGTTGATGAGAAGTTGATTAGCCTCCCTAGGGTATTATGGTATTGAAAATTAGTAGTTCTTTTAGTAATATTAAATTGTGCAATTATTCACGAACCATCCTAGTCTTGGAAGTAAAAAACATATTATACTCTTGTGACTTTTATAGTAAAATAAGTGTCATAAATGAGTTTGTAAACGTAAACAATTCTGAATTTATGTTATCCTGTCGAGAACACATCTTGAACATAAAGGAAGATGCTTTTTAAGTTGGTGCTCAGAATTATCAGTATGATTAAGTTCTGATGTATCTTTATCAATGAAGTAAAATAAAATTAAAAGAATCAAGATGGGTGTTAGCTGAAGGGAGGTTTGACCTTCAAAGAGATTAGTTAAAGGTGAAATGGGCATTCAGTTTCAACTGTTCACCTATAAAGCGAAATCCATCCAAATTGTGATGCTTGATGCAATATGTCGTCTTGCTCTGCTGTATGGAGGGTGAATTATGAATGCGGGTCAACACTTTTTCATATCATTATATTAACCTCATCACAGTACTAGTAGCATGGCATTACTATGAGCCTAAGACTATAAATTTGTAGCTGGTTATATTAGACTATGGAGTTTCTTATCCGTTCGTAATTTTGGAGGATATGTTAGTGATGTGTGATTCCTTGTTTAGTTAATGCAAGAGATGATTAGGGTAATGAAGAAAGCAACATCATAGTTAATATGTGGCAAAAGCTAGGTTGCAATTAGTAAGGCTTCATATTACGTTAGGCCTATCCTAAAGGGGATGATAATAGGGAGACACTATCTCACCTCGCAAAGGCTAACTCGTTGTGACCTCTTCAAAGGGAGACTGTTAATTTATCTGTGACCTACAGGGGATGCAGTTATAGGGACCAACTGTCTGTGGAAATGTCAGGAATTCAGATTTACTTGTTAATAGGAGTATTGGATCTATTAGATTGTTTCCTTCCATATATTTTAATGTCAATATGGTACTACTTTTAATGTCAAATTCCTTCTTTATCTCTTGCAGTTAGTGAACTTTTGCCTCTCTTTCAGTTTGCTAAAATAATCAGTGCTTGTTAATAATCTGTTGGTCAACAGTTCCATAAGCAATCTGTGCGGTTGATAGCACAATGTATGTTGGTAACACAAGCAATTACTAGCAGTGAGGGTCAAAGTGAGAGTAAACCTACAATGCAGAGTGTATTACTTAGCTGTTTTTTCTTTTTCTTTTTAAAGCTTTTGAGGATATCATATCTGAGTAAGTGTCGACCCACATCTGGAAGCATACATAGAGGATGGATTATCTTGAAATCGTAAAGGCATTTCTTTTAAGGGTCTTGTGCTTCCTTTTATTTGCTAAAACTAGCTACAAGGTAAAAGGTCCCTTTTCTTTGCAGTTAATTCGAGAGTATAGTTGGGACCATCTCAATCTTGTCGGTTTCAGGAATTTCTCAATTCGAGAATTTGATACAGACCTAGTACGTTCCTGAGCGACACTGTAACGTAGGCAACAGTTTGGGTACTTACATTATTCGCTGATAAAGCAATTAGAGAAGCTTTACACCATGTAGGCTATGTAATATGTTTCTTACTCTTTTTTCTCTCTTTTCGATAGAGTATGATTTCTGCTTCGTTACAGGTCATAAGTGTGCATAACTTCCGTCACTCTTGAGGGGAGTAATTTTGCAAAACATATGTCGTCTTGTACTTCTTCCGAAGTTATTTTAGATTTGCTGCTCCTTTAAATTGTTACCTTAGTCCCGATTACTCTTGTCATTTTTATGCTTATATTTATCTGGCATAGTTCCATCAATACCGCAACTTTATGTTTAAACTACTGATTTTAGCTGTTGTAAATGTGCAGTGATAGCCAGTCATCCTACTACTATTCGCGGGTGAACTTGGAAGGATCTTCATGCTGTTTTCAGTACTGGGCTAATTATCAGCATTATGTTGGCGTCGTCTTTTTATTTGTCATAAGTATACTTGTATATTGTGGATAAAGTTATTAGAGTCCAGTGTTATGGTTAGAACTGTTTCATCCCCCTTTTATTTTTGTTATTTTAAACTCTTAATCGAGCAATCTGTTATAGTTTTTGTAATCCATTATGTTCAGTTCTTATTCTCACCTCTAATCAAGTACGTGTTTTGTCGTCGCTATAATCGGTTTTTGTTGTTGATATTGTGAATTAAGGATTTTATCAGAACACCCCCATTTATAATAGAGTAATCTATACCATCAAAAATATGGTTCTATACAAAAGGCTCCTTGCATCTCTATCGATGTCTTTAAGAATTGAAAGAATCATCCGGCCGTTGGGACATCTTATCGATAGTTTCAGGAGCTAAACAAAGCACGCTAAAGCGATTGAAAACATGAACAAGACCGCATCCTGACTTATTCTGATGCAATCATATACGTTATACTAAGCATACTTCCTTCAAATATCAGTTGAGCTTGCGGGTTTTTATGCTGCCTCTCCCTGGGCAACGCATGCATATTTTTCAAAACCGGCAGTACTATAAGATTCATAGAAAAGCAGCGGCGAGAGAATATGAGGCTAGCGGCCAACATTGTTATGAGTAGCATGATAATGACTATTGCCAACATCGAACCTCCCTTTAAATTGGTCTAAAATGAATCATACTCAAGGTCGTGATAAAGGTGGGGAAACAAAAAGGAGCTGCTTTTTGGGGAATCCTCACTTCTATGATTCTATAGTATGTTAAAGAATTAGCTTTGTTATCCTTGAAAGAGGCATGAGGAGCTCTACAAAATGTATCCAAGGCCTGTAAATTTACACCAAAAGAAAAAAGAAGAAAGAAAAAAAAGAAAAAAATCGCTTTTCGTTTCCTTTCTCCAACTCTCTAGGAAAATCAAAGCAAAGGCTCTGACACTTCCTATATAGTGCAAATGGTGCACTCCAGTCAACTGACAGCCGTGCCAGATTTCATGGCTTCGTTAGGTCCAGGAATTCAAAACCTATCAATCTTTATCGTCGTCTGTTTTGTTCTTCTGTTTCTGTAATGAACTTTAGCAAGAAACGTGAGCTGTAGATGGTTGTCATCAATTAATCCTCTTCGTCTACTATGGACGCAAAGGAGAAGGGTTTGAACTTGTAGCCATCACCATGATAGAACTTGTTCATGAATTCAACCCAATGCAGACGTAAAGCATGAAGAAAAGCACTTAGCGTCTCCATCATGAGCAAAATGAATGCTGTTGCAAATGCAAAAACTGCAAGCCCAACTAGCCGGATGATGATGTTGTCGTACCTGTGAACATTTATCATCTTTAGAAAATCAAATAGTTTAAACTAAAGCAGAAAAACAAAACAATAGGAGGAAAATATATGGAGACATCACCGCTACAATTCATTGAATGAAAATACTTCTCATATATTAGTTCAGTTACTTCCTGCTTAAGTGAGGTATAGTTCTGGAATATAAATATTCATGAGAAAAGCATCATTAAGATCTATAGGGTTGCATGAAATGCTTTTGCAGAACACTAGTATATATGAGGGAAGAACCTCTGGTACTCGTACACAAAAAAATTAAAGGTATAAAGGTTCAGAATTGGACTCACCCCCAAGCAAGGAGGAGTATTTTCTCATAAAATACAGTAGACAACTCCGAGTGGGCCAAGCTGGAAATAGAGAGTATTCAGGAACAGATCAGACATTATACGATTGGGGGGATGATTAAAACTATTGCCTAACTATGATATACCTCAGAGCCCAAAGCCGAAGATACGATGCAGTGTTCGAGACTGCCCCCAAGACAAATTCAATTGAATGGATCATCTGATGCACAAACACTTCACTGAAGTTGAAATCCTGATGGTGTTGCCTAGATCTTGCAGAATCAGGTTCAACATCCAGATCCATCTCTGATGTGCCAAGCATGCCATAGGAACGACCTTGAAATCTCTAAATAACATAGCATAGAGAAACATGTAAGGATGTTGCAGGGCTGCATATATGCATCATCAAGTTCATGTATTTAGTTATTACTCTAAGTTGTTCTATAGGTGTGGTATTCCATCAATTAAAAGATAAGGAAAAGAGAAAATGAATAAATTTTAGAAAGTTCCATGGCATGTAAAAATGTCATCAGCATAATATGCCATCTAAATATTCAGTGACATATTCACCAAAGGGAGATTCGTAGGAACAACTTTCAAGGAACCAAAAGAACTTTCATTTCAGACACAACCACAGTCAGATCGTTTAGGTGCTTGATAGCAGCCCATATTTTCAAAATTTTGCCAACAGTAACCGTCGCCTTCAGTAAAATCTGTCTTAATCAGATCAAGATACATCTAGTACTAAACAGCAACATATTTACATTCAGAAATAAGACAAGCTAGATATATACTACTGGATACCAAAAGTAGATTACAAAAGCTTAATCCCAACACTCGAAACTTATTTAATAACTAGGCAATTTTAGGAAAGAAAAGGTACATCTAGGCAAATGGCAACATTAAAGTTTCCCATTCTGCATCATAGCAGTGCAAAACATATGTCAATATTTTCAGGAATTCTTTACAATTCATTCCTGCATAAAACTGCAAGAGTTCAGAACACGCAAACCTGTGATAGTATTCTTGTACAAAATGATAAAAAAATACTGCAAATTAGATTATTTACAATCCTGAAATGATATTTCTTTTTTGGTGAGGGTGGAGGTGAAAGGGAAAAAAAAGACAAAGAAGAAGAAACTATGAAGAACACTTAGAGAACACAAAGGGTGGTTGGCACTGTATTCAAACAACAACTACTACTACTAAGTCTTTATCCCAAATGTTTGGAGCCGGCTACATGAAACCTAATTTTCCATTCCATTCTGTTACGGGTCATCTCCTCTGTTAAGTTAGTCTTAATCATATCATTCGTAATTGCTTCTAACCAATTCATTCTAAGTCGACCTCTAGATTTCCTATCCTCATTAACTCTAACATTATCATTTTTACTAATCGGTGCACTAAGGGGTCTCCGTTGTACTGACCAAACCATCTTAATCTAGTCTCTCATTTTATCCTCAATAGGCGCAACCTCTAATTTACTACGGATGCACTTATTTCTTATCCTATCTTTTAATGTATATCCACAAGACCATCACAACATTCTTATTTCTGCTACACTTATTTTTTTAAACATGTTTTTTAATTGCCTAACATTCTGACCCATACAACATAATTGGTCTTATAACTGTCCTATAGAATTTTTCCTTTAGTTTCATTGGTATTCTACGATCACATAAAACTCACGAAGCACTCCTCCATTTTAACCATTCCGATGTGATTCAATGCACCACATCATCATTTATCTCACCATTATATCTAATGATAAATCCTAAATAGTAAATATGATTAGTTTTAGGTATTTTTTGGCTATCAATATGTACCATAGGCTCTTTCTTTCCTAATTTTACTCAAGAGCTTGTCACCATCTTTCTACTTTAGAAATAATGACTCTTCTAGTTTTATCAACCGATACTATATCATCAACAAATGACATACACCATGAGATTTCATCCTAAATGTGCTTAGTAAGTTGGTTCATAACTAATGCAAAAAGATAATGACTTAAAGCCGACTCTTGATAGAAATCTATGATAATAGAAAATGTCTTGATAGAAATCTATGATAATAGAAAATGGTTTAGTCTCTCCTTCATTAGTTCTTGCTCTAGTTCTTACTCTATCATACATATCTTTAATCACATCAATATATATACTAGATACATGTTTCTTTTCTAACCCTCACCACATTACCTCTCTAGGTATTATATTATAAGTTTTTTCTAGATCGATAAAAATCATATGTAGATCATTTCTCTTCTCTCCATCTCTCTCCATCAACCGTCTCAAAAAAAATGTATAGGTTCCATAATTGACCTCCCAGGCATAAAACCAAATTGATTTTCAGATATACATGTTTCTTTTCTTAGTTTTTGCTCAATTACCCTCTCCCAAAGTTTTATAGTATGACTCATGAGTTTTATACCTCGATAATTTGAACAACTTTGTATATCCCATTTATTCTTATATATCGGTATCAAAGTACTAATCCTCCACTCATCCGACATTCTTTTTGTCTAGATAATTTTAGTAAATAGTTTAGTTAACTATCCTAAGCCTATATCTCTAAGACATTTCCAAACTTCAATATGGATGTCGTCCGGTCCTATGGCTCGTTCACTTTTTATTTTCTTTAGAGCATCTTTAACCTCGCTAATCCTAATTTTTCGATAATATCTCACTATATGGTCAAAATCTCTATTTTGCTCACTTGTTTGGTTATCATTAAACAATTGATAAAAGTAACCCCTCCACCTCTCTTTTATTTCCCCGTCGGTCACTAGAACTCTTTGATCCTCACTTTTAATATACCTAATATTACCAAAATCCCTACTCTTCCTGTCTCTAATCTTAGAAAGGTTATATATCTTTTCTCCCTCCTTAAATTCTAAGTTCTTATAAAAATTTTCATAAACCATGTATTTATTCTCACTAACCACTCTTTTTGCTTCATTCCTTACTAGTTTACATTTTTCTAAGTTTTCTCTACTCATACACTTTTGCCACTCTTTATATAAAAGTTTTCTTCAATCTAATAACTTTTTGCACACTCTCATTCCACCACCAACTCTCCTTATCGTCTAATCTACAACCTTTAAATTCTCCTAGTATATCTTTAGCCACTTTACTAATACAAGAAAACATGTTATTTCACATAATATTAGTCTCATTATCTATGTTCCAGATATCTTATTTCATTATCTTATCTTTAAAATGTATTAAGTTCTCTCGATATTTGCTTATGGATCATGTATATAATTCACTTACTGAAGAGATTGCGTGGAAACGAAAAAAACTAATGCTAGACAGCTACAAGAAGGTTATGGTAATACCACTCTTTTTCCTTCATAGAACTGCTATTTCTAAGAAGAAAATAGAACTTTTAGTGTGAGTTGCTTGGACCAAGAGAAGTATTAGATTTTTAAAGTGAAGTCAGATGTAAATTTGATATTCAATTCTATTATTTGAAGCTTTTTGTGCAGGTAAGTTTTCTCTCCCTAAGAAGATCTCTGCAGTTTCCTTGCTGGCAAGATGTAGACATTAACTCAAGGTGAACATCATTCACAGGTGGTGCCAGCTGCAATTTGCATTAAGATGATTTCAGGGTATTATGACGGTTTTCTGGATCTTTATTATTGATTTTGATTGTTATCTCAGATCATGGTTGATTCAAGTTTAGTAGTTTGTTTATATTGTAGCAATATCATGGTCCCATCTTGCTAGATAAAATTCCTAACATCTCATTGTCTTAGAGAAAGTATTGAAGAAAACAAGCATGTTGCCCCCCAAAATGTTAGAAAATGCAGTCAAGTGAAATAATAACTGAAAGAACCAAATTATACCTCTGTATGAAGTTTTTTTAAGATGAAAGGTTTTGGAAATAGCATCCACGGAACCGCCACGACAGCTAGAAGCAATAAGACAATCTGCAGAAAATGTGGAAAAGCTTAAACAACAAAGGAAACTAAACTAAGTGCAAAGGGATGTGTTTACCTGCAGAAATTTCTGACCCCAAAATAGCTGGTTTTCACCAAGATCATCCATAGGGCTCAGGAACATGTATATCATGACATGATATAAATCAGCTTGAGAACCTGTGCACCACTTAATGATGATTAAGAGTGCAAGATAGCCAAACAAGCTATTGAGGAAGATCATCTGAGGTATGAACTGATGCCTGAAAGAAAATGCATTTTTCAACATCCAGTATTCACAAAGAGGTATAAGAGCTAGGATAGGTCATACCGTATATCAAGAGAGTTCCCATAAAACTTGGCATCAAAATAACTTAATATGATCCCTAAGTTCATCTGAGTTAGACCAAATAGTATAGACATCTTCATTTTAAGGGAGTTAAGAAATGGGAGCTCAGAGCGACTTCCTCGCCAGCTAGGGTCCACACCAAACTTGTATGGATCTCGATACTTTACAAGACCAGCAGTGTATGCATCACTGGAGAAGCACATAAGTAAAATTACATCCTCAAAAATTTCAAAAGTAAAACCAAGATTTCAACAATTCTAAAAAGGTATTCATTGGACAAATGAAAGTTAGAAATGGCCTATATTTAACATGTTGACAGCTGATTTTCGTTAATAGTAAATGCAAAAGAAAGGGATGACGGGAGGAAAGTTGTTTTCAGAAGAAAACTCAATGGACAGGCCGAAGATTGATGCGGTTGAAAATTAGAACAGAGAAATCATATGTAAATAGTGAGACGGTGCAGTGGGGATACAATATGTCCTTGATGTATTGTTGTTGAATGGCTGCTTGGATGAGAGAAACTGCTATGTAGAACTTCCAATGTTTACCTTCTATTCCAAAATTAAAGTTATCTTTTGAACTATATGCAATAAATGCACTAATATTTGTACTGCTGCATACTAGAATTAATAGTTTCATAAATTCTCGCATCTCCAATAGTCTTTAATGCTCACTTAGTAAATAGACAACCAGCTATGTTTGAGAAATTCTTGCAGGGAATATGATGTATTCCAGCCCCTTGTGCAAAGAACCAACTTGTTGGTTCATTACATTGCCAGAGAGCACAAATAGTGAGTGCTTAATTATATACGTCACAATGCCTTCTAAATAAATTAGAAAGAACCTTCACATACCTGCAAGTAGAATCACGACACTTATAAGCAGAATCACCAAAAATGTGAAATGGAACAGAGAAGAACTCATTATATATCAATCCGCAATAGATTGAAAATAATGCCATCAAAAGAATTACGTAGCGCCCTCCAAATGCCATCTCCATAAAGCTATCGAGTTTCTGAAAAGACAAATTGATACTGTTTGTCAATGAGAGCAGCTAAATAGAACTACAATCAAAGTAAACATATGAGCATGAGTCACTAAACAGTGGATAAACCCTAAAGAGCTGTAGTCACTGATGCAAGCAGGAAGAAAACAGAGGTTGACTAAAAGTTATTGTCGACTCGTAGTCCACTTCCAAAAACATATATGGAACATATAAAGAGGCAATTGAAAATGTTTATGCTCTTACACTAGTCTAGCATTTTCCTTCCATGGTGTATCAGTACGTAAGGACAAAATGTGAGGTTGGGTATTGTAATAGAATAGGTAATACCCTTTTTTGTTAATTTCACTCAGTTCCAAAACTGAGCGACCAGTTCAAGACAAAAATGTGAGGTGGTGTTGTAATAGAATAGGTAATACGCTTTTTTTAATTTACTTTGTTTCTTTCTTGTTTCGCCCTTTGTGGTGTGTTGGGTTAGGGTTGGGGGGGGGGTGCTGGAAGTGGGTTATTGTGGCGTGTTTTTGTGTGTTGTGTGGTGTTTTGAGGGGAGGGGGGGGGGGGGGTTTCCACTTTCCAGTTAACTAACATGGCGTTTTTGAGCGATGAACTTTTGTACAACCATATTCACACCTAAAGGTCCAAAGGATTTTCCTGGAAGCATATCTAACAACAGATAGATGGAAAAAAGATGACAAATTCACATAATGGATGATAGCGAGGTATCTGACCCATTCATTAACACACTGACTGCTCATTGACACTAAAAGAAATTTTATCAACAAAGATATTTGTTACAGGCTCCATTCGTGATTTAAAACAACATTAATAACGATGACAAAGAAAGCCTTTCTTCTTCTTCTTCTTCTTCTCTTTTTTTGGTGGTCAGTACAAAGCCTGCCTAGTCTATCCAAATAATTAATGACGTTCAATTACTTTGGATGTTAAGTTTCTTATAGATGTGGGGTCAAAATATTTTCTCCAGATAATGTCTTGAACAAGGACTCCCACAATGTTACGCTCTCAGCTGCATATTTGACAAAATCTTTGAAGCCAACTTAACCTTTTCCTTTAATTTATTGTGCAACAAAGTATGTTTTCTAAACCGACACTGGAATTGCAATGTAATCGATCACATGCACAAAAGATGACAAAATAACCACACGATTACAGCGTTTCTGTTTTATACTTTAGCATACATCATCCAGTAGTTAAAAATAAGTATTGTACATAGAACATACCCGGGATCCAAGTTTTTTCTCACGAATTATAAGGATCAAGGATCCTAACAACAAGCATATTCCATGGCCCCAATCCCCAAACATCACGGCGAAAAGAAAAGGGAACGTGATCACAGAATATACAGCAGGATTTGATTCTTGATACCTAGCAACACTGCATCACAGGAAGCTCGGATCAATTCTGGAAAAACAAAACTTTAGATAAAGAATATATATATATATATATTAAATTATTACATAAGTGCAGCTTTCCAAATAGTATTTTTTTTCTGCAAGTTCATGCAAGCATCTATACAGTGTGCATTACAACAAATATTCAGAGCAGTGAATTATGAAGATTATTGTAAGAAAATAATTTTTATTTTCCTACATTGACGTAATAAGAATACAAAGGTCCAATGCTTATGGAACTCTACTGTTTAAGTGTTTAACATAATATCAGGGGCTGAAGCTAGGAGGGGCAATTGTCCTCCATCATCATATGGACAACTGACTCCACCCTTTATTCATATTTGGTGACTCTGATCCAACCCATAAGAAATTACTTGATCATTTTCCTCTGTTGCATGTAACAAGGGAGACACTGATATTGTGCTGGGTGGTTCATACATCGCATAAAGTTTCTGATTACCTCTCTCCTTTCAGGCCAGCAATCCCCATCATGTACAAACAGTAATAGAATAATGTGCTGACAATTAGGATACAAATTGCCGCGGTCATGTCCTTTTGTTCTCTTTATTCACAGTAAAGCATGAGAAAGGAATTTTTTATGGCCACTCCTGTCTATGGTAATCCACTTTCCACTCTGCCATATGTTATTGAATGAATCTTGACTATTGAGCAACACTAAGAGTGCTAGATGTCAAATAAATAAATAAACATAAAAAATGTGTTCAATGGAAGAATAAAAGTGGATTCGACACTTCAATTTTTCATTGCCCTTGTGTGGTAATGTGAAGTTGAAACCTGTAAAATGTTCATGAGTAAGGGAGCATGAAGATTCATATACTGTCAACTTTCATCATACTTTAATTTGTCGTCCTAGGGCTTATTTAGTTCTACAATAAATTATTTCATATATCTATTTGTTCATGTTGAGAAATCTGAACTAATAAAAGAATAGATAGTTTCTTTAAATGCATACTGATGAATATGCATATATTAACACCAAACTCAACCTCAAACGCAGTGCCTCGATGACTGCAACATATAAACCAAGAATACTAAACCAATTCTGAAATAAAAGAGTGCAGACAGAGAAATAATTTGTGAAATTCTGATTAAAGCAGAAAGAATGAGGAAGTAAATTATGAGATTTAGAAACATTTGCATTTTAAGTGGCAGATCATATTAGCAAAAGCAAGGAATAGATGCAGTATTTTCTGACTGACATGGACATAAAACAATTTATAAAGCACGTGATATTCACAGTACAGTAACTTCATCTGTTTGCAAAGGTTCAAGTACAAACCCGTATGCATCCACAATTTCTTGAAATGCATTTGTAAATTTATTTGTCCTAAAGTATGTGGGTGGTGATTCAAGAGCATCCATCTCATGGAATATTATCCCCACTTGTGAATTGCTATCAAATGTTGCACGCTGCAAGGCATCCGTTATCTGTGCAGAAAATTGACAGAGATTGAAAATTGTGTTAAGAGCTCACTACTGCTTTGAAAATATTAAAGAAGAATAGTACTAGCAAGTTTAGCATCTTGGCCTATAAAAACTCATTTAGCAAATTCTAGTCCTGATTTATGACCTGAGGTTTGGAAAATATTGGACACCACCCCTCCCCAACAAGACATTTTTTGGTAACATCAAAGTTGAGCATGTTCAATGTATCATACACAGCTTTCTCCTTTTTAACCTGGAAAATAATTTAAAATTAATGTTAATGGTGCATGTTTCATAAAGCACATAATAAAACAGTCGCATGGTATATGGTTGTTTCAACTCAATCATAAATAGTAAACTTCGTCCAATTACCATGATAGTCCATCTCCAAAGTTGACATCCAATAGAAGATAGAGCCTTATTTCTATGACGAATTCCAGCATCCAAGGTGGCTTCCAATTCGGAGAGACGTGAGGAAACCTACAAGAAAGAGAGCAAGGCTGGGGGATCATTGCAAATAATATTGAGAATAAAAATATTTTTAGATATGGAAACAGCATCTGAATGATTGTCAAATAATTTAAATGGTTTTCTCTAGTCATAGTTTTTCAATAGCTTGTTTATTTCCTTAAAAACCTACTAAGGCTGCTTTTTCTGTTGAATAACCATCATGTGTGCAGTACATACAAGTTACGCTATGGCTGCTTTTTCTTTTTCTGTTCAATGACCTTGCATGATGTTTACGCATGATGTTTACATTACCTGACTCACTTTTATGTTACATTACTAATAGATCATGCAGAGTATTTTACTTCTATTTTTGGTAAAGTTCAAATCGTAGTAAGAGTCTTGTTTGTTTTCTATTTAAGCAGAGTATTTTAAGCCCAAGCCCTAGAGGCATAACTTTTCATTAATAAAATTTCTCTTTTAATATTTTCTTCATGGATTCGAAGTTCTTTGTGGATTCGAAGATCGTTCTTTGTGGATTTATAGAACAGTCCTTTAGTGGATTCTGAGGTTATCACTTTCGCGCTACATTAGCTTCACATTTCATGCAGGACGCATTTCCAGCTCCCTGAAACGCCCAACGGCTGAGACACATGTCTCAGTGCATCGGAGATAACACTGAGCCTAGGCGTACGCCTAGGCGGGCTAAGCAGAGGCTTTTGAAACATTGTCTCCAGGCATATAGCCAGACATCTCGGGATATCTCTTCATATAGTTTCTATCCACTTTCATTCCACTTTTTCTAAATTTTGGAGAAAGTGAAAAGGATGAAAACCCTGGTATAATGCCCTCCACTTTTCAATCATTTTCCAATAGCCGAATAAGATGAAAAGAAAATAATTTTTTTTTAATTTTTGGCCCACTTTCGATTTAGTTCTAAGTGCCAACACGTCCTTAAGTCAAATATATCTCATCTATGTGCAACGGCAAAGTCGGGAGCTAGGGGTGGTCGTGATCCCCTTGCTCTTTTGTTATATTACTATATGTATAGCTTAGGTTTTTTTTTCAATTTTAGTACCTTAAAACTTTAATGCTTTGAAATTAGTCTGTCAAATCATTGAAATTGCTATCAGTTCTCCAATTTCTTAAGTTATCTTAAAACTAATCCCAAAAATCTTTGATATTTCTATTGAATCCCCAATTGCAATAAGTTTTTTCAAATTAATTCCTCTAATTACTACCTCTGCTCTTAATTGAAGGGACTAATTTCAAAATATTAAAAAAAGATGTTTCTATGAATGAGTACGATAAGTGATTGAACAAAAAGAATATAATACTTGCTTATTCCCCATTATAACAAGAACTTTTTTGTCCCTTTTTGCTTCTCATCAAAATTCTGAATTTGAAGTCAAATATGAACATCTTCCCTGAGCTCATTTCTAAAGTGTTGTGGCATATAGTTTGGTCAAAAATGTTTGAGATTCTCATCATTGGCATGCGTTACATCTGTAAGTTATTTTAATTTGACGTTTTCTTTATCCAAATTTGTATAGTAATATGAAACGCGTTTCTATTGGATAATTTCATGTGATAGTTTTTGTATGTCAAGTACAATAGAAAATCAAATTTCAACCTTTATGAAGTTATTCATTTGATTTTATAACTGTGAAACGAGAGTTATATGTTCGTGTAGTTTTATATTTAATAGTAGAATTGTCAAATAAATTATATATAAACATATATATATAACTTCTGAAAGAACAACATGTTGATTCAAAGATGGGCGAATATGTTGAAATAATTTAAGTTTTTGTGATTTTTTTCTGATAGCATCCATCTAGCTTCTTCTTTCAACTACTTATATATATGACAATTTATATCCAATGTGATCATTTTTTTATTTGATGTATTATGTGATGATTGTATTTTTGCGCACGGCCGCCCGCCCCCAAAAAAAAAAAAAAAAAAAAAACCACCCAAAATAAAAAATCTTGCCTCTGCCACTGTACGTGTGGATAGAGATCCTGATGCAGTTCAATTCATGCAAAATCAATTAATTTCATCTGATAGTAGAATCTAGTTGGCCTAAATTTGTTGAGAGGATCACAACAAAATGAAACATAAATATTCTCTTGGTTCTTATGTACAATACCATTTGTCTAGCTAATCATAGAACATTTCCTGGCAGTTTAGCAAATATAGTTCTGATGACCTGTTCTTGCACATTATGTTACCTCATAAGTAATTTGCCTCTGTTTACTAGTGTCCTCAGGAACAGGGTAGCAATTTGCCCCAAATGCATCACAGATCTTAAGAATTTTTGTCTTGGCTTGTTCTCCAGAAAAGAAAACTACAAATATAGTCTTTTCTACCTGCAATACAAAAAAAAAGTCATGATAAATAAACAAAGAAACTGGACATGTACCACAATTTTCCTGGTATATGACTGCGATTTTTGCAACCAGAAGCTTTCTTATCCATTAAGCACCCCCAAAATATATGGGGTTCTAAAACATAAAGACAATGCCGCAAAGAATTAAGAGGTTGGTCAGTTAGAATAACCATTAAAGTTGGAGGTTAAAACCCCCAAACATATAAAATTATATCAAATGCAATTTGGTGTATTTATACAGAAAAACAAGTGGAGGCTAACAAACCATCTCGCCAGATACTGGATCCACCACATGTCCATCAGCAGGTGCATGATTAAAAAACATATTGCCCCTTGTTGCTCGAAACAGCATCCTCTCAAATTGCATTGATTTTGATTTGCAGATTATCCCACTAATGAATCTCAATCCAGCTTTACTGGGTGGCTCTGGCTGCATTTCTCATGTTAAGTGTTCTATGGTTTAGCACACAAAGTAACTGCTAAATGCAGGTGCCAAATGACCAAGTGAAGAGAGGCAGAAACCTGTTCAAGTAGAGATAGATGTTCCGGATCCCGTTCTTTGGGGTAGACATTTTCTTCTAGCTCTATATCAGGAGAAACAACATGGTTTTGTGCTGAATCAAGGAAACGACCTGCCTGGAATAAAAAATAGGTGTGAAGAAGGCACAAGTCATACTAAAAGCCCTTATGAAATGTTTTAAGGGAAAGAACAAGTAAAGTTGATAGTAATCATTGGTTGGAAGAAGAAAAATGTTGCATAGATAAAAATTGTACTAACACCAACATACTATATGGTTTCGTTCCTTTTTTTCTTTTGTTTTCTTTAACTGCTCCTCAGTGGGTTTCCAAGCAAAAGCCGTCCTACTTTAAATATGTGGAAGTTTAAATTGATATGCTTAGGGCACAGGGCACTACACAGCATCTCTTGTAGAAGCTGTTGTCCATCCATGCAGCTATAATACGTTCAACCTTCCCTTTCAATGGTCCTCATTCGTTTTGTCAGTAACTTTGAATAAAGTTAAGGGCAGCCTGATGTGGGGCCCTGGAAGGGGTCGACCACTTTTGGCCTATTGAACACAGCCTTACCTAAAAGTTTTATTACAAGAGGTTGTTTCAACGACTCAAACCTATGATCTCCAGGTCCCATGCGACAACTCTTACTGTTGCACAAGGCTCCCCTTCAGACATCCAACAACTTTGAATGAAGTTCTGGAAAGGTATTGCAAATAGTAATAACCATATCTGAGATCATCAAAATTTTAAAGCTGACTAGTTAAATTTTTTTGTTCCCATTCAGATACTCCCACTGGAATTCTATTCCAAAAATATGAAAAATTACCCTACTATATCCTATGCTATAGTCCTTATCAAGACTATCAGTAGAAAAACAACATCCCTTAATTGCCTTAATTTATGTGTGACCATAATCAGCAACAGCAAAGTAGCATACTATGTTCCATTTTACCCAAGGTCCAAAAGCATTGTGCACATAATCAATTTGTTCGAATGCAATGTGAAAGGGAGTCTCAACAAGAAATACAAACAAGAAAAAACTTGACCTACACTTGAAGAAACTAAAATTCAGAAGTAGCAATAAGCCAAACTGGTTTTCATATAACCTTGTAGACACATCCTTCCTAAATATTTGTAAAACTCTAAATCTTGTCATAAAGATCTCCATAATCTTCAAGCCCACAAGGTATCCCTCTTTTGGGTTGTCTTATCTAGTTGACACTTGATTCATGAGTTTTTCTTTGAATTTGATTGTTATCTAGATACTACTTCATTTATGTACTTTCCCTTTTCTTTTCCACTGTAGAAGGGACAATAAGTATGCATCATTCTCCCAATGAAAGGTTCAGCATGGATATGATCTTAAGCTCAATCATTATAAAACAAATTTATATGGACACACGCAAAAGCTACACAAATCTAATATGAGAGAACTACATGCTAATGAATCAAGAACCAAATACCTTCAGTAAAACTAACTTAAACTCCAGTAACTCATTGTAAGTTTGCCGCAGTTTCTCACTGTTTGAATTCATTTCAAGAAGCTCAGCCTCATGTTCACCCAACTGTACCTGAA